GACTTTACGATAACGTATGGTGTTTGATTTGGCTTGAAAAACTATACCCCTTTGCCATTCAGGAGCTACCTTGAGGTTGCTTTCCTCCTGCCTTGCGACGCGACCCCCACCTGGCTCACTATGGCGACAGAAGCTCGGGGGAATCCAAAAAAAAAAAAAAAAAAAAAAAAAAAAAAAAAAAAAAAAAAAAAAAAAAAAAAAAAGAAAAAATTTAAAAAAAATTTTTTAAAAAAAAAAAAAAAAAAAAAAATTTAAAATAAAAATTTTTTTTAAATATTTTTTTTTTTTTTTTTTTAAAAAAAAAAAAAAAAAAAAAAAAAAAAAAAATCTGTCCTCGTCGGTTCTACCGAACAAGCTTGAGGTTAGTATCTAACCCGAATCCTCTATTCGTAGAGGTTCGTAAATTTTGGAAAGCGGCCCATTTGAGCCGCACCAATCGGAAGTTTTAACTACGCCTTTTTGATTTTGGAAACCGTGTATTATACTATTGATTTTTGCATAATTTTTACTTAGCCCAATACAGCGCAGCTCTCCTTTTAATTTGAAAACTAAAAACATCGAGTTGGTAGAGGAAAGCGGGTATTGTGCGTTTTTCGCCTGTTTCTTTACATAAGTTTAAAAACTTAATTTTACTGACTTGATTCAACCATTGGACCCACTAAAATGCTTGCTTTAAATAGCCTGCAGGTCGAATCCACCACGCTTCAAAAGATTTCTACCGAGAAGGACAGCCCGGCACAAAATGATGTTTCGAGAAATCATCGGTAAAAAGGACAAAACACTGTGTTATTGCACAATATGCCGGCGCTATTCTAAATCTACTAAAATTGGACGAATTTTAAGAGCAAAAACATCCGTAAAAATGGTATACTTTCCCGCTATCCGATCCTTAAATTCCCAATTCTGAACTCTGAAGTGGAGCATCCATTTGTCCTTTTCTCTACAAAAATAGTGTACTGTTTTTGTTGTTTGTTATGCCGAGGTGATGGGGGCGTCAGAATTTTTAGTATAATTACCCCCACGACACATGCCGCGGATTCCAGGGGGGTGTTGAGCTGTGATGCGTGTGTGTACGTACAGGGTCGTACAGTCGCGCGCGTGGCGGAAAAGCCCCGACTAATTGGTGGTGCGGTTTTTGGCGCCTTTTGGAGGAGAGCGAGAGAGATAGAGAGAGAGAGAGAGCGAGAGAGAGAGAGAAGAGGAGAGAGAGAGCGAGAGAAAGAGAGACAGAGGGAGTCCTAATCGGCGTAATACTAAACGCCAGAATACTACACGAACCAATAACAATTTTCAAACTTTGTTATTCGAAACGATACAAAGTATCAAGCAATAAAGATACTTTAACTTCTAGCAAACGTACTTAAAATCTCGGCCAGAAAATGTCCGATTAAAAATCGAGAAAAGCGGATCCCGGAAAATGGAGCTCGGCTTGGGGTCGACCGGCTGGTTTGGGTATGCAAATGTGGGGCAATGGAGAGAGAGATAGAGTGAGAGAGAGAGAGAGAGGGAGAGAGAGGTTGAGAGAGGGGGGGGGGGGGAGGGGGGGGGGGGGGGGGAAGAAAGAGGCAGAGAAAAAGAATGTTCGCCCAGCCGGTATCCTCTCGCGCTCAAAGCCGGCTGCCATCAACCCCCTCCCACACCCAAGCTAACGGACAAATTTCTGGATTTAACGAGAATTTCTACACTTAATTTGAGGATTTTTGCTTTGAAAAACCTTAAAAATAACGTTAGGAATCAGAATAGCTTTAAAAATTAATATAAACGAAAAAGTGTCATTGCAAAATCTACATACTAAGCTTTTTAAATGGGCGCTAAAAATATGCTACATGACGTTTAAATTAAGACTATTTAAATAAATAATTAAATGAAAGCGTTGAATCATCTTATATTTTACTAATGATATTAGAAAGATGAAACCAAAACTATTCTGGCCAGCTAGAAAAATAATGTTTCAGAGAACGATCCTTACAATTAGTTGCCAAGCGGATTAATTGGCATGCGACACACTGCGCTTTAATTTGAAATTGAAGGTTAAACATAATGATTAAAGTTCATTATAATTAAATTAAGGGCGTAATAGAATTTAGCATCTAGGATCCGGGACGCGATTGCCCAAAAATGCATCAAAACGAACCCCTGGAAAAGCCGAAACATCAATAGGCAAACAGACATTTTTGAGGCGGGTGGCGGCCCTGAACTATGGACGCGAATGGACGACGTTAAGCTCCAAATGACGTTCAGATTATTGGGGGACCTTGAAAAGTCAAGGCCGGTAACGGTAATCATATTACAAAGATGAAACCAAAATTATTCTGGCCAGCTAGAAAATAAAGTTCAGGGTATTTAAGTTGCCAAGCGCGCTTAACTAATTCAAAAAAAATTGCAGCAAGTAATAACAATTAGAAATGAAACAACTATTTTTAAAGTCAAAATCAAAACCTTGTCTGGGGGTTTTCGGGTTTCCTATTTAATGCTGTGTCATTATGATTGACGTGTAAGTCAGAATATCTCTCTCACTCTTCTCTCTCTCTCTCTCTCTCTCTATCGCTCTCTCTCCTTCTTTCAGAAATTGCATGATTCATCTTGAGGGAACCCCCGATAAAATGCTTTTTTTTTCGGATTACTAGGGCCGATTTGATAAGGCTAAATTGCGTAGGCAATGACGAAATGTACCACCCAGAAATTTGGGGCAACAGAGGTCCAATATTAATAGTTCAGTGTTCAAACTAAATTAGAAAATTAAAATTGAAAACCCGTTCCGAACTTAAAAATTCAGTTCAAAATGCCGGGGCTAAGGTTCACTTTTGCGCCTCCAAATTGCCGAAGTTTGTCGTCTCAAATATACTTCCTCTCAAATCTTACTCAGTAAACCAAACTAAAAAAAATAGAGTTTCAAAAACTGATAACTATCGCCTTTTCTCAGCTTGAGTAATCGGGATAACATAAGTAATCTCTAGACGCTACAGAAATCAGTAAGTCTTCAGAAAAATTAAGGCAAAAAAAATGTGTTGCAGAATACAGTAAACCCATCAAACCTCGGAAGTCATAAGCCGGTGATAAAAAATGGGTTCCATAAATTAATGAAATTCCGTTGATTCCCGAATTGATAATCGGCGGATCACCTTTCTTTGGTAAAATTGTTTTAAATAGAAATCCCCCATACCTTGTAGGGTCGTAAAAACTGTAAATTCCGGATCCGTTCTTTGTCAGGTACGCAAAAATTTGCGTGAATTTCACGGGCATAGGGGCGTAACAAGGTCGAAGAAATTGAGGGGATTTTGCGTAAATAAGAAGAGCGGAAGGGCACATTTTTTCAGAGAGAGAGAGAGAGAGTGAGAGAGAGACGGAGAGAGAGTGAGAGAGAGAGAGAAAGAAAGATAGAGAGAGAGAGAGAGAGAGCGAGAGAGAGCGAGAGAGAGAGAGAGAGAGAGAGATAGAGAGAGAGAGAGCGACAGAGAGAGAGAGCGAGAGAGAGAGCGAGAGAGAGAGAGAGGGCGAGAGAGAGAGAGGACGAGAGAGAGGGAACGCTCATGTAAATAGGATCGAGGAACAGTTGGCTGGGGAGGAAATTTGCTCAATGGATGCCCTTTGCTTCCCCAAGAAATTTTTGCATTTTTTAAGGTAGCCAAAACTTGTAAGCGAAAGTCGTAATAAATATCCAAGTTTCTGAAAGGAAGTGAAAATGAAAAATTTATGAAACATTAAATTTCCAACATTTTTTGGTGATTTCTGATTCCGAATTAAATCAATCCAGAATTAAATTTATGTGGATAGCTTGCTATCTATTAAAAACCATTCTTCACGACAATAATAAGAAACTAACATAAATTAAAAAACTGGTACACCGGGCGAGAAAACTTTTTATATGTTTCAAAATTTCATATATGGCGAAAAATTGTGATGCGCATAATGAGACGAGCCTGAGAGGTGAGAGTGAATTGATCTCAATGACTCAATGATCTTTTAAAGCGTAATAATACCTTATTGCTTTCAGTTTAATTTCGAATGAGATTTAAATGTTGCTTTTGTAACTCAATAAATCAAACACGAATTCTTATGTATTAAATTTATTATTTTCCGCCTTACATATACCTTAAAAACCGGATTTCCTAAGCATAAACTGCCCAAAAATAGCCAAAAAATGATGAAATTTCAGAAAATTCCGGGGATTTCAATATAGCCTCGGCTACCGTAAACCCCGATTTTCACAAGTCCTTCAACCAAGGGGAGGGGCTGATTTTTTGAGTGCAAAAATATGTGAAAATCCGGCGCGCGTGGAAAATAGAATGGAAAAGGTATAAAAAAATTGGGATTAGTGACGGGTGGTATGAAATCTTTTTTAAGTGGTTGAAAATAACTCATGGGGGGCACAATTGATCAACAAAAGTTCAAACGGGGGCATCATGGTCAGCCCCCCAAAAAATGAGGGGCAGTAGATAGAGTAGAAAAACAGGGCCATAAAATCCTGGCATAGTCGGTGGTATCATTTTTTTCCAAAACATAATTTTTATCCTGAATTTCTACGTTGAAAAGCAACATTTTAATAGATACCTGTTAATAATAGAAAGTGAATTTTTGTAATGTTAATCGGCCTCACTAAAGAAATATTAATTATCGACACTTATCTGTTTTCTTATTATTAAAGCAATCTTGTTAATTTTTCAAATTTATTTTCTTGAAACATACATTTTTTAGCGAAGCAGTTAAAGAAAAAAGGAATAATACGGTTAAAGAATTTTTTTCCTTACCTAGCGTTCCTAAAACTTCTTTTTTTAAAAGAATTCCCGCAATTAAATCTATATTCTATATTTCTCTATATTTTTAGAGCCCGGCGCCAGAGTTAGTCGTCCATTTAAAGGACCACGCAAGTTAAAAAATCAGTGGTTTTCAGAAAAATGAAAACATTAGGCAGGTGGCAATGGCTGGATTTTGGCACTTCATCAAAAAATTGCAAAAAAAAATTAAATTTAGATTATTTCAATCTAACTTTCATGCAATTAAGACCGATTCAGTCTCCTGAGGTGCAGGTTCTTCGAAGCATTCATTTTCAACGAGAAAAATTTTAGGTGAATACGGACAATGGTGTCTTCATAGAACATCGGCTTTGTGCACGATTTCAATAAAGCTAAAGAATTTAATTTTTCTTAAAAAACATACCGTGCTACATTTGGTTTGGAAAAGTATGTTCCTGCCAAATATTCCCTTCCAGGGAAAATAGAAGCGCAATTCTTGCTGCGATTCTTCGGTTTGTCCATTTCGATTTCGATGAAAGTTCATAGATAAATGGATAAATTTTCCACAAATACAATAAATAAGATTTAACTTAATTAGATTTTGTGATAACATATCGAAATTGCTTGCACAAGTTCACGGATAAGAAAAACAATTTTTTTTCAAAAATAGAAACATAAAATTTCGCAACGCCCTGCCAAATCGGTTCAATTTTGGATCGAAAACAGGACCTATCGAGGACAGGGGCGTAGCCAGAAAAAAATTTCGGGGGGAGCCCCGAAAAAATTTTTTCGAAAAACTCAAAAAATTGATGAGAAAACAGCGCCGCAGGCAAAAATTTTTGAGAAAAAGGTTGCATCGCTCTACAAATAGCCGTAAAAACGTGCTAAAATAGCGCCGCAGGCAGCAAAATTTTTGAGAAAATCAAAATCATAAGGGTCCCCCCTTATGAAATTTTCGGGCCCCGGCCGATTTCGGGGGGGGCCCCGGGCCCCCGGGGCCGGTATTACGCTACGTCCCTGGTGATAACATACCGAAATTGCTTGCACAAGTTCACGGATAAGAAAAACAATTTTTTTTACAAAAATAGAAACATAAAATTTCGCAACGCCCTGCCAAAACGGTTCAATTTTGGATCGAAAACCAGGGAAGTGGAGATCAAAATGACGGTAGTGCCCGATGAGGGATTTATTGGTTTTTCTTGCCGTTCCTGTTGCAAAATTGGGACCACGTAATCTACACCGTAATCAACGGTAGATGGAGTACATTGAAAAATAATGTTTCATGAAACATTCACTTTCAACAAAAAAAGAAATTGAGCGTAGTTCGAAAGTCGACGCCAATAAAAGAAGTTGCCTACAGCGAATTAAATTTGGTAAATCTTAATTCATACCAAAATACAAAGTCTATTATAATTTGAGATTTGCAAAACCTGCCGAAACGGCAGGGAAGAGAATTAGGAAAAGTATGGTTTCACCGGACTGAATTTCGGAATTTCCAGAATAAAATCGACGATACTTAACTGTCAGTAGTAGCAGATGGAAAATAGCTATAAACAGCAAAACATATTATTGAAAAATAATGTTCCTTTGTTCCTTTTAATATTAGCTTCATGAAAAAATTCCAAAATCATTGCCGATTTTTCAGTTGCTACAATTTAATAAGAAGTCGTAATAGATTTAATTTAAACGAATCTTCACGAATAAAACCAATAATCTGAATTTATCAAAATAGGTTTTTTACAGGGTGCGGAGAAAGTTTTCGGCGGGGCAAATAACTCTGTTACTCGAAACCTAGAGGTTTATTCAGATTTTTTGGATTCGAGGCTGGAAAGTGAAGACTCATGGATCATAAGTCACGACTGGATTACCCAAATTCAAAGATTTTACCCGATTAGATTAGAAGGGGTTGTTCTTTATAATCCGTAAACTCGGAAGCCTGGTAGTCTGCCACGGAAAATTTTAACCGCGCTTTCTATATCGGCCAAATGGTGGCCAATTTCGAAACTCGCCTGCGCATCGGTGTTCCGAGCTCGGTTATTTTAGCTGAGCACTTATTAAAAAATCTTTGGCTCATGAAATTGGATGAGAATTGTCCCAATCTATCATGACACCACAAAAAATGTAGTCGAAACGCTCATCTTGACAAATCTTTTTGATAAAAGGTGCGCCGCCGAAAACTTTTTCCGCACCCTGTACAATAAAATATAGAAATTCCCTTCAAAAAATCAATGTAATAAAATATTCAATTTTGATAAAAATAGAAACATAAAATTTCGTAACGCCCTGCCAAATCGGTTCAAATTTTGGATCGAAAACAGGAGCTATGGAGAATCAAAAGGACGGTAGTGCACGAATTGGGATTTATTGCTATTTTCATGTCGTAAATAGTGGTGGAAAAGGGGGTGTTTTCGGGAGGGATGTTGCCTTTGATTGAGATGAGATCATCTGATCCTTCCGAAACGATCCTGTAGTAGTCAGTCGCGCGACTTTTTGGTCAGCCAATGATCGCTGAGAGTGACTGGGGGTGGGGTGACCTTGGGAATTAATGGGGGAAATGCCACGAACCAGAAAACGGAGTAAAAATTAGCGAAAAATTGCCTCGAAAGCATTGGGCTTTTTAAATACTAAATAGACAAGCAAAATTTCAAAATATAAGCAAAAAAATTTGGAAAATGTTTGTTTCAAAAATTTAAAAGTTTGGATTTGAAAAAGTTAGTTTGTAAATTTTTTTTGAAAATGGTTTTATGAAGCAAAGATGGAAGAACAAAAAATTATAAAGTCTCTAATTATTAATTAAAAAAGGCAAGTTTGCAGTTATTAAAAAGTAAAGGTTAATTGCTCACAAATTGCAACTATAAAGCTTAGAAAGCTACGCTGAAATTAAGCGAGGCAAAATCAGGATGTATCACTAGTTGCGACGAGAATTGCTCGAATCGCCGAGCGATGGAATATGCAAAGGTAGTGGAACATCAAATTTTTAAAAAAACGCGTCAATGGCTGAAAGCTTTGCTAGACAAAAACAAAGGAAAAGCAAATATAAAAGTCAAAAATATCTGGTTGCCAAAATCGAAAATACGAAATCAAACCGAATCCTATTGTCGAAATATACATATGCGAGTCTCACGAAAAAACCCAAACTAGCAAGAAAACCAAAATTCAAGTTCACATCATTTGAATTATGACCTCGCATTCTCTCCAACCTGAAATTCGACATTCATCGACAGTCCCAATACGTCACCATGCAAATCTAAACAGCCGCCGAGCCGAATAAGCCCCGGCAAGGTGCTGGGCCTCCCAAAGTATAAAACATCGAAAAGCACGAAGCAAAAGAGAGAATCGATCGAAACATTAAACCATAGACAGAAAACGTCACGTTCATCAACGACCAATCGGTGTAATCTCAAACGTAATAATACCGACAGACCGACAAACCTGGAAAACCAAAAAATTATGGGCCGTGGTGATTTGTGAAATACCTGCAATTCGCGAGAAATCCAGAAAAATCACATAAATTTTTGTTGAAACATAATCTTTCAAAAGCTCCCCAAAACACCAACCTGACAGCGCCTCGTCGGCCTCGGCGTCCAGCACGATGAAGCCGGCGCTTGGATGGTTTTTAGGGATCGTGACGGCGGAAGAGTCTTCTGCTTCTTCAGTGTCCTGCAAGATATGAAGTTAATACGTCCGTTTCCTCAAACAATCTCTGCTAGCCTGCCCTCCTCTCGGGGTCCGTCCATTTCCTCAAACAATCTCTGCTAGCCTGCCCTCCTCTCGGGGTCCGTCCATTTCCTCAAACAATCTCTGCTAGCCTGCCCTCCTCTCGGGGTCCGTCCATTTCCTCAAACAATCTCTGCTAGCCTGCCCACCTCTCGGGGTCCGTCCATTTCCTCAAACAATCTCTGCTAGCCTGCCCTCCTCTCGGGGTCCGTCCATTTCCTCCAACAATCTCTGCTAGCCTGCCCTCCTCTCGGGGTCCGTCCATTTCCTCAAACAATCTCGGCTAGCCTGCCCTCACCTGTCCGTATTTTTCGGGGGACCACTGCAGCAGGAAGCCGTAAATCGAGTCGGCCTTGTTGCGAGGGATTGTGAACCAGAATTCGCGCTTCAGCCTGAAATTGATGGCAGGACTAATCAAATTGCAAACTTCAACTAACCTAAAATTTTGAAAAAATTAGCTAGAAATTTCACGAAGCCACAGAAAATTCATTTAATATTCCTCATAAAAATTGTGGCAGGGTATGTTTTTCAGAAACATTTTTTTATGGCATTAACTTAGAATTGCGTCCATTTCGCAAAAATTGAGTATTGAAAACTTAAAGTAGCATCATAGTGGAGTCTAGACTCTGGAATATCAATTGCTTTTAGCATTACCAGGCGTGAGTCTATTTGCGAAAGCTACAAAAAAAGAAAAAAGACCGACACTCTGGCACACTTTTGACTCTTTTAGGGTGCCCTGGCGTGCGCTCGACTCCAAAACATAAAATTTTTAGAAGAAAAACACGTCTTAAAGGCACCAGAATTTTTTCTAAAGCCAATCTAAATGCGCTGTTTTTACAAAAATCTTAGCTTTCCCTATCAAAAATTGCCCTGGACTTTGTTTTAAAATGTTAAAATGTTTCATCAAAGGTTTCAGTTAATAAGTTATCGTTCTTTTGTTAATTATAAAATCCTTTATTCTTGAAAATGCTTCCACCCTTTTTGCCAACTCTAAATTTAAATCTTTTACCTTAAAAGGTGCATATTTCTTCTAAGAAATCTTTCAGGTCTGGTTTTATATAATTTTCGGTTTTCTCTAGTTAAATCCTTGCCGAGGTATGTTTAAGATTAAAATCTACCTTTTCCCTTCTGGGTTCCTTAAAAGTAGCTAACATTATAGACAAGCTAACCGATTGCCAAAAAGACAGTCGTCGTCGTAGGAGGAGACGGACGAGCCGTTGTTGATCGACGATGTCCGGGTGGCTTTCGCTGAAAATTGGATGCATTTTAAAGGGGATGACACGGATGGGGGAATTTAATGGTTTTAGTTGCTGAAAAAAATCGGCTTTTTGCTAGATAAAAGGACTCGAGAAGCTGGTGATAAAAAGAAAGTTTCAGGTTTTCAAAAGCTCATCTGAATTTGGTTGTCGGTAATTCTCGTTACACCTGGTATCCTCGTAAATGCACCCAACACGAAAATATAAAAATGATTTGAGGCGCATAAACTAATTTCGAATATATTTAAGGGGAGGGGCAAATGTTTATCAGGACATGGTCCGCCGCCTCCGCGACACGCAACGCGCACGCCGCCCTTTCATTGCGTACTAGGTTCCCGGCCGCTCTAATCGGTAATCGGGTCCCGTTGTGTGTCGCGGTTACGTAAAATGCATATAAAATCTGATGAGAATTTAATGATCTTAGTAGCCGCAAAAATATTGACTTTTTGCTAGATAAATACACTCGAAGAGCAGGTGAAGAAAAAAAGTTTCAGGTTTTTAAAAGGTCATCTGATTTTAGTTTGGGTTAATTTTCCTTGGAGGTTACTTGGTAAATGCACTTAAATGGTGCGAGTATAAAAGTTAAAATAGATTTAATATGTTGCAGGCGCTGTTTCATGACGTAATGGGAAAACGCCCTTCACGCCAGCAACTGGGCGGTCGCGTTGCGTGTCGCGGTCCCGTAAAAGGCGTATAAAATCTATAGCCAAAAATCTATCGTATTGCCTTGTCGATTCCTTTAAAAAGATAATTAATCGTCATTTTTTAAAGGCGTTAAGAAATTTTTGGGTAACAAAAGGAAATACAAAGATTTAAAAAATGCGACAAAAAATGTTTCAACATTTCGAGTGACAAACTGTCGTTTTTTTTTTTGTTTTTTTTTTCTTGTGCCCGTGGTGTTTATCTGGGGGAAGAGAGAAAAGAAATAAAGGTGGTGTTATATTATATAAAATTAAATAAAAATAAAAAATTTTTTTTTTTTTTTATGGGGAGAGCCGTTTCCGGTTTACTGATTCGGACTCCAGTGCGAGCAATTTATATTCAAGGGATTCGAGTCCGTGCTGAATTTTAATAAACGTATCGTATCGGTTTGAAAGGAAAAATTTTTTTAAGCGGGAGGCATTGTGTAAATTAAAATGATGAAGATTAAACGTTTAAGCAAGTTTAATAAGAACCCATTATAATCTTTGGGCGTAACTGTAATCGTAATTTCAGCAATTTTCGGTAGCGGATTTGGGTGTTATGTTATAAAACTAATTCTCAAGGAAATCGCAGCTAATTGAAAATAACCCCAGGTATCGGTACCTAATTAATAACACCAATAATATAAAACTCTAATTCAGGCATACCAATTTTTCATAAAAAATGCTTCCATATTTTAACGGGAAGGTATTCTTGCGGATAGCTTACTTACGGCTTAAAAATGTCGAAAACAATTTTCAAGTAATTATGGTCGGCTTTTTAATAAGGTATCCCGAAAGAAGTCGGTATCTAAAACCAGTACAAAAATCATTTCTAGAAGAAGCTCAGATTCAGGCAGATTGCCAAGAAAACATGTTTTAGAATTATTGGAAGACCAAGAAATATTTGACGACCACAATTTTCCGTGGCGAAGTTCATGCTTAATTTTCAAATAATATAAAGTATATAAAATGAAAAACCATATTATTAAAATGCCATTAAATAATGGAACAACCCTAAGTTCCGACCAAATTTTCCAAAAAAATGTTTTAGGTTATTTACGGGCGGGCAAATATTTTATGGGCACAATTATTGAAAGCGGGCGAAGATTCGTGACCACGATATTTCTATCCTAATGTCGAAAATCATGACGAATTTCAAAATGTACATTGCATCGCATTCGGGTTTTGTCCGGGAAATTTTTAAACCAATGTAAATTTCGACATGATGAAATTTCGACAATATGAAAATCGACATCAAGATATTTCGACGTTTTGAAAGACATTCAGTAATCTCAAGGAATGCCAAACGTATTTTAATAAAGTATCGCCCGCCGAATTTGTTGTTTGTATGGGTTATTTGCCTGGGGCCAGCCGGGTCCCCCTTCCCCCTCTTGGCCTTAGCCGAAATATCGATTTTCGGCGTGCATCCACCACCTCCACTGCCAGCTCTGGCTGCAAAAGGGGGCAGAGGAAGGGCTCAAGCGGAAATTGCTCTCGGAAAATACACGCTTAAGAAAAGGAATCTAAAAGAGTCTTTTTTTTGCAGTTCAAGACTAAGACCAAAACAAAGCATTTATTAATGTCTGACCGAATATTCGATTCCTAATTTTGCTTAAAACATTTTTTGAGGAACCGTGCGAAAACCTGATTTTACAACAGATTTTTTAGAAAAATACAAAAATTTTACTTACAGAATTTATGGTTTTTCCGACGGTTTTTACGGCTTGCGACAAAACTTTCTCGACAAATTTTCGAAATTGGATAGCAAAAGTCTCAACGTTCATTGACACGATCTGGCACTGGATAATTGAACACGTTAAAAAATCTGGATTTTTAGAAATACCTAAAACATTTTTTCCAAAAAGTTCATAATTCGATTTTGGACGTTTCAAAGTTTCGACAGAACTATCAGGACTTTTTTGAAACACTTCTAAAATCATTCGAGTATTTTTAAGATTAAACAACAAAGAAATTAAGCAGTACACGATATTTCAGTTTAGATGTTGTCTAGAAACACTTTTTATTTAAAGACTTTTCCTAGAAAGTCCGCATTTTTATGGACGTCATATTGTTTATAATTTTTATAGAGTTGATAATTTTAAAATAATGCCGAAACGTGTAAAAAAATAAAAATTAAAAATAGCATCAGGAGGCTGAGGCGAGAATTAGCCGAGAAGAAATGCTTGTTTCAAGAAAAGAGGAAACGTGCTCTCGAGCTCTCAAGCGCCCTAACCCCATCACTACACTTCCCTCCACTTGACCTTCACAAAAAATTAGGCACTAAAACGGTAGCATTTTATAGATCTGGCAAGAACCACAGTATTAGTCAATGCAAAAATTTTTTAATTTTTCTATTTTTTGAAACATAATTTTTAAAATTATTGCATAAAAACATCAGCTTTCGATACTAAGTAAGCAAATCCAGCAGCTTTTAATTTTCTAAAAGATCCCAAAACTCGCCAGCTTGCTATGAAAATGTTAATATTTGCAATGAAGATCATTCGTCAATAGTAGTCAGAGTAATTTTCAGGTGTAAAAAAAATTTCAAACATCGCCCATTTTCCAAGTTTTCGGAAATTGTTTTATTTCCAAATAAAATAGGGTTAAATTTTGCGCAAAGCACAATTAAAATACACAATTCCTCTATTAGGCGTTTCTGAGAATTAAGGAAAGAATTCGGCTTGTTCCTAGCTTAATAATAATAACCAGAAAAACCCTCAAAAACAACTAAAAAAATTATGGAAAAAGAAATGTTTCATGGCTGAGTGAAGGGGTAGGAAATTTGATGATATTGATGATGATGACGATGTAAAAAAAATATATTAATATTTTAATACTATAAATAGTTTTAAATGATTAAATTTAAAAAACAAAAGTTTTAAATTAAATCGGTTTAATAAAACAAAAGTTATATTGGCGCTGAAGCAATTCAAAAGCTAAAAATAAGTGAGAAATACATAGCGCACTGCTGCGTCTAGGTTAAAATTGTCCTTGAAATTCAAAGAAAGAAAAAATAGTAGATCAGTCTGAAAGACCTTTGGAAAATTTTGTCAGCATCTTGTGAAGAAAGTCAGTTCGTGAAAAAGAAAATGTTTCCTAAATGAAAAAAGCGTGGAAAAGTTGGTAGACCGTCAATCACAGTATAATATCAAAAAATTTCATATTTTCTATTTTAAAACTCACACTTTCGCATCTTTTTCCGGGTCAGCCGGACGGCCATAAAATATGGCATAATCGGCGAGGAGGGGGCATCGGATTGGCCGGCTGAGGTGTCCGTTTCCGATTCGGAGCGCGAATTTCTGGAAATTATAAGGTTTCAAAAACCGGGGCAATCATTTGAATTTTATAAGTATCATTGTGTCGACTTTCGTCATTAGTTTTCAATTTTTTTTAATTTCGAGGAAGTACGTGCAAAGATATTTAGAAAATGCAGCTGACTATTATCCACTATATAAATGCATTTTTAAAGTAATTTAGCAGTTTTTGATGGCTAGAAGGCTATCAAAATGTGCAAAAATTGTAAATTTTCGAAATGTTCTTTCGAAAACGTTCAAAAAGGTTGGGTTGCAACATCATTAAGCACACCATGCTTTTTTAAATATACTAAAAGCGAGCAATCTAGATGCTAATATTTTTAAGCCACGGTACTTTGGGATTACGATATTATAGCGGCGCCGTTATACGACCTTAATGTTTAACAAAATTACGTTACTACGGCTTTACGATACTACGGCATTACAGATCGAGCTTTTTTACGGAAAAATAAATGGGTGCCAACTTGTGCAGCAGCTCGTCGACGGTGCTGAACAGATCGGGGCACCCGGTCGGCTCGGTGGCACACGTGAATCTGCACAAAACGATAAACGTAAAATGGATGCACTATACAACGTCGAGTTCAATGGGGTTTACTCTCCGCAACACGCAACGCGCACGCGGCGCACTACCGTACAAGGCGAAAAGTCACTTTAAGGGACCGAAAAGGCTTGGCTATAGATTCCACATGGATTTTGCGAAGCCCGCCACACGCAACGCACGCGCTTAGCCGTCATCTAGCGGTCGTAATCGACTACGCACGGAAAAATTGGGCGTGCACGTTGCGTGTCGCGGCGCGGGACTTCATTTACGGACCTTTAAAGGGACCGAAAAGGCTTGGATACTGATTCCATTTGGATTTCATCGCGTCGCGACACGCAACGCGCACGCCCTTGGTCGTCATTTAGGATCGTAATTGATTGAAAGATCAATTGCGTATCGCGGGTGTGGTAAAATTCTCATTTCATGCGCTATTTTTTACAAGGACGTGAACGGCTTGGCCACAGAGGCTAACCCATTCTCAAGCCCGCGACACGCAACGCCTTAAAAGAGCGTAATCGAATACACAATCCAAAATTGGGTGTACTCGAAGCGTATCGCGGCGGTAAATCCAGAATCATGCCTTACCTGGCCCTTTAAGGGCCAGGGACAGGGACTGCGTGGCTAACGTTCTCATATGGATCCGCGACACGCAACGCGATACGCCGCTTGACCGTATTTAGGCGACATAAACGGTTACGTAAGGAAAAATGTGGCGTGCGCGTTGCGTGCGAATCCATAGCCATACCTTCCCCGGTGCTTTAAAGCTCGATCGAGGCTCTATCGGGAGCGTGCGAGAGAGTTATACTTTTAAAGGGAACGTGCCACAAACGCAAATACAAATGGTTGAAGAGCATTAAATGTACTTACGCGGTTTGGTCGATTCCCTTCGAGACGGCCTCCTGTCGGGCGGCCGCCGTTTTTTGGCTGAAAAATTTTTCGGAATAAATTTTGATAAAAACACGTGATTCATTCTCTTAAAGGGGCTCCGAAATCTGGTCCACGGCCCCCTGCTGTGATTCCTGGCAAATAGCCAGATGCGGCCGCAACGCGACCGCGCCGCATGATCTTTTGCCTCTGTTTGGACGCGAAAACGCTTGAATTTCAAAATTCTGATGTTGTTTTTGGGATCATCAATGAATTTTGATCATTCTAGACTTTTAAATTATGAAAATTAATCAGAGAATCGCCGAGATCGCAAGCTTGGGTGTCTTACAAGGCATTACGACATGTAATCGCCGCCCACGCAAAAAGTCGTTTTCGCCCCGAGGACTTTTCGGTTTTACTCAAATATTTTACGTTTTTTCTCAATCAAATCATTTTGCTGGCACTTCTCGGCAGTGACCCTTTCGTTTTTTGACCGGTAGGTTCAATCGCCGGACCCGCGAATTTTGACTTCCGAGCCCCTTTAAAATGTTGAAATGAGAGAACGAGGCCCAGTCTATGGTCGCAGTGTTAGCCACCAAAAGAAATAATTTTAATTAACTGTTTCATAAAAATGATCCCTGGACTTTCATCAAAATCCGCTATATTTTTGCTTAAAAATCGGTTTCTTTTAACAAAAAATGTTATGCTAGAAAAATGCTTTTTTAGAGGCATAATTGGCCTTGCAACGCTCCAAAAAGTAAAAAAAACAGGACAAAGTCTAAATTTTTGTATAGCTATCAAAAACATGAACTAAACTAGAACGGCTAGAGAATAACATCCATTTAAAACTGGGCGTGTTTTACATGTAATAAAAAATACTCTAACCGCCGGTGGATGAGTGTGGAGCTACACTTTACCCGCCACCGCCCCCAGCCGGAAGTTTTTGGCTATAACTTTTTTTATTTTGCATTATTGTTGGCTCAAATTAAAACTCTTAGTATATTTTTCGACGCTCTATCGAATGGCGTTGCAAAAATCCCGACAAAATAAGCGAAAATACCGAAAAATTTCAGACCCATCGGCTGTGTGTGTGTGTGTGGGGGGGGGAGTAAAGTAAAGTCTTACTCACATGGACATTAAGCCCCTTGCCCTCGGTCTTTACTCCCATTTTCCGGAAACACATTTCCCCTACCGTAGTCCCTCGAGGGTGGCGAGCGATTGGTCCCGTTTCAGCTGCTGCGGGGTGCGTTGTTCTTGCTGAAATTAAATGAATAATTCTAGTCTATCAAAATTAATATGTAGCATTATTTAATTTAAAAATCTATACCCTAAAAATCTGAAAATTTTGTGATTTGAAAAATCTAAAAAATGAAAAAAGGATTTTTGATCGAAATGTAGAGATACGATATTCGGAATTTTCGTAATGATTGATCACTGCGGCCTTCGATTACTAACACTAGATCTGCTGCGTCCGCGACACGCAACGCGCTTTATCTTTGCATTGCGTAAGCGGTTACGCTCTTTTGTGCCCGGTGAGCGGCGTGCGCGTTGCGTGTCGCGGGCGCGGGAAAATGTTATGGACCCCAGTTTTCGAGTCACAATCAGAATTCAGTTTTTTACATTTTTAGCGTGTTGTTTGGGTCTCTTTTTTGTGTTTTATCGATTGGAATCGACTTCCGGCCGTGAATCCATAAAAAATCGACAATTTTACGTTATAAAAATCGCTTCAATTACCGTATTTTTGGGGGATTTTCGCCGGAAAATATTGCCTGGGGTAAAAAGGGTCGCCGAATCATTTACACTTAAGATTTATAGGTCCGATGACTTGGAAAACCCGTTGAAAAAGTTAAAAGACGTTAAATAGTTATTTTTATGTGCTCTAACTTATACCGCTTTCAGCAAATCGTAGCACTGCCGTCGGCGGCGGAATGGGCGCATTTTTGTAGTTTAGAGCGGCAAAATTCACGAAGCCCCGATGAATTTTAGGGCGCTTTAGCAAAATTCGAGTGTATTTTGGCTGCAGACAAGTCCAGGGGCGGGGGAAAACTAGTTTTTGCATAAATCACTTCGAAGTTCGAACGGACCGGTGGAAAGGGGGATCAACTGGCCTATTTCCACCTAGCGTAGACAAGCTGGAGCTCTTTCTCTCTTTTTCTCTCCTCTCTCTCCCTCTCTCTCTCTCTCTCTCTATCTCACTCACTCACTCTCTATCGCTCTCTCTCTCTCACTCACGCTCTCTCTTCCTCTCCCATTCTCTCTCACTCGCTCACTCTCCCTCTCGCTCTCTCTCCCTCGCTCTCTCACGGTCTCTCTCACCGTCTCTCCCTGTCTCTCCCTCTCACTCTCTCTCTCCCTCTCCCTCTCTCTCTCTCTCTCTCTCTCTCTTCTCTCTCTCTCTCTCTCTCTCTCTCTCTCTCTCTCTCTCTTACATTTTTTATTTGCCTTAAAGAAAAATTCTAACCAATTTGGTGTTTAAAGAAATCGGTTTAATCCATACCTCGACGGCAAAGAAGCCGCTGACCCCGTTGACGCCGTCGGCTATCAGCTCGCTGCCCTGAAACCCAAATGTTTATAGCTCCTCTCGATTTAGTTATTAAAATGATTTCAATAATGTGTTTTTTAATAACATTAAACATTTTTTGATAACACAACATTTTTTAATAAACATTTAATTAAAATAAGTATATGCGCTGTTCTTTACCCGAATTCAAAATCTAGCCACAGGCTCAGAAATACATGTTTCTCAAAATTTCCTACTGCCGTAGAAATTTTGGATGCTAATTTGAACTGCCGCCTTTACCAAAATTTCTTCCTATTCCTTAATTTAAAAATATCTTGTTTTAATATACCGCACTTCGATCGACTAGTTTTTAATAAAATTCACATACCTTGTTGACGATGTTTTCGGGCAGTTGTGCAACACGATCGGCGGCCGCCTTCGCGCTGTCCCCCACCACTTTTGCCGAGGTTTGAATTCCCGTTTGGAGGGAATCTACAAAAAAATAATGGTTTTATAGATTCTTCTATGTCATTAAATCGGCTCCATTTTCTAAACAATTTTGACAAAAAGTAAAAAATCAAAATTTTTATTAGATTTTTACCAATAAAACTATCTAAAATACCATAAAAAGGATTTATTTTCATTAAAGGGCTTTAAAGGAAAATTTCCCTGCCCCCCCCCGCTAACAGTCCAGTACCGTTTAATCTGCTTAATAAAGCAAAATAAAATCAATTCTCTCTGAAAATGAGGTTAAAATGTTTCATTTTCGCTGGTATTTTCGGATTGTATTTCTCTACTAATCCGATTCAGATGGATCTTTGAATTCAAATCCTAATTTTATTGCCCGCGCGCTTTTTTATATATTAGCGTTCAATAATCTCATATTTATAATCTTATTAATATTATATATATTTGATATAGTGATACATTTATAATAGATCCAAAAAGATTCTAATAATGAAATTATTTACCCGCTGCACTTTTCGTGTGCGTAACGACACCATGCGCCACGCTCTCCGCGCCCTTGGCCATCGTCTGCACGCCGCTCTTCGCTTTCGCGCTGAAACATTCAAATTATTGGCAAAATCCCTAAAATTCTGATAAGGTCTATAATTCACAAATATTGAAATCTTGTAAAAACACGCCGTTCCACCCCAAAAAAACACTCGATCCGAAAACACGAGATAGAAAAAGGGGGTCAGGGGCATGCTTCAGGAAACGAGACGGGGTTGCTGGGTAATTGTTAGTTTTCTAGTTTTTAATTAATTTTCTTCATTTTATGCATAAACACAACATTTTTCGTGATTTAAATACGTTTTACGCTACGAAAAACCGCCCGATATAATTTAGTAAATTCCTGAGCCATCCAAAAAAATTTGTTTCACCCATCGCTAACTGAAATTTTGCAGTAATCGTCGTAATTTTGAGATCATCGGATCTATAGCTTCTCAACCATTTTAACAAAGTATCAATTTTAGACAAAATTAATATTGTACATTATAAGTACACTAGCTATGCCTTAGCCTATGTCTAAGCCTAAGCTCCAGCCTAAACCTAGGCTTAAAGCCAAGCCGAAGCCTTAGCCTTAGCCTGAGCTTAAGCTAAAGCCCAAGTTTAAGCATAAGCCTAAAACTAGGCCTAAGCCTAAGATTAAGCCTATGCCCAAGCCTAAGCCCAAGCCAAGCTAAGCCGAAGCCAAGCCTAAGCCAAGCCTAAGCCTATGCCCAAGCCAAGCTAAGCCTAAGCCGAAGCCTAAGCACCAGAAAATTTTCGGCTGGGCTTTGAGCAATTGATGTTTCACGTAACTGGGCATTGCAGTTATTAACAGTTTCTTTAGTTCTTTTGAGCACCCGTAATTCTTAAAAATCCAGAATTATATACCTTTCCAGAATATCAGTAATTTTATGTATATTTTCTACATTTCAACCCCTACAAAAAAGTGGGCGGGGCTTGGTTATTCGTGCAGGGACGGTGGGGGTACTACCGTAACCCGGGCTCGATTCTGAGCCGGGCGAATGCAACTTACGAAATGGACATTGGCGAGAGACAGCTTGGAAATTAAGGGGGTTAACGGGGCTCAGACACAGTTTTTAAAATTTTTATTTTTATTATGTAAAGCTTTTGATGGAATTAAAGCTTGGTTGTGCGAAAAACCACCAAGATTTTTTGAAACATGGATTAATTAGCCTCGATTTTTATTTATTTAAATTTAAATTTAAATTTAAATTTAAATCGGGTTACCATTTTCCAAAATCAAACTTTTTGGTTTCATAGATCCACGGTGCAAAAAACGTCTCAATTGGCCTATAAACTCTGGAAAGGCCAAACAAAAAATTGAAACAAAGCCACTCAAAAACAAGAAAAATAAAGCGTTTTAATTCAGGTCAAAGGTTCATGCTTTTATAATGCAATTTTGTAAAGGTTTTTCTACAAAAAATAACAAAGAATGAGGATGTAGCTAAAATTACTTTGAATTTCAGTTTTTTGGAAAATTGTTTCAAAATAATAAAAAAATAACGGCTCTGGAACAATCAATATTATGGTAGCGTAGCTATGGAAATTTTTATTTAAGTTTTTCAAAATAATGTTTCTTAACAACACAAGTTTTGGAAGTTCTAAAATACGAGAATCACGTTGGATGACTGTTTCAGCCTTAGCTTAAAATCCGGTAAAGATACAGTTTGAATTAATCATTTCCAGTTTAAATTCTCGGATAAATGTATGTTTCAAAGACCTGCAAATTTCAAAAAAAATTTTTGCAGGGATTCAGTTTACCGTCGTCCCCAAGTGTTTTTGTATAATTGAAACACCGATTTGTTCGTCGATACGATTACGGCAGGGAAATCGAATACTTAATGGGGGGGGGGGTACGGTAGAAAACGACCAATACACGACGGCGCACCACCTACCTCAGCGTTCGCCCCAATTTGCCGAACGAACGTCGCGCGGCCCCCGGAGAATATCTATTTTGCATACAAGCCAAAGATAGAGAAAAGGGGGAGCAGAGAAGATGGCAGACACGCAGAAGGGAGCGTTAGAAGAACTGCACACGTTTCCTCCTCCAATCTCTGCTAGCCTGCCCTCCTCTCGGGGTCCGTCCATTCCTCCCCAATCTCTGCTAGCCTGCCCTCCTCTCGGGGTCCGTCCATTTCCTCCTCTAATCTCTGCTAGCCTGCCCTCCTCTCGGGGTCCGTCCATTTCCTCCTCCAATCTCTGCTAGCCTGCCCTCCTCTCGGGGTCCGTCCATTTCCTCCTCCAATCTCTGCTAGCCTGCCCTCCTCTCGGGGTCCGTCCATTTCCTCCACCAATCTCTGCTAGCCTGCCCTCCTCTCGGGGTCCGTCCATTTCCTCCACCAATCTCTGCTAGCCTGCCCTCCTCTCGGGGTCCGTCCATTTCCTCAAACAATCTCTGCTAGCCTGCCCTCCTCTCGGGGTCCGTCCATTTCCTCAAACAATCTCTGCTAGCCTGCCCTCCTCTCGGGGTCCGTCCATTTCCTCAAACAATCTCTGCTAGCCTGCCCTCCTCTCGGGGTCCGTCCATTTCCTCAAACAATCTCTGCTAGCCTGCCCTCCTCTCGGGGTCCGTCCATTTCCTCAAACAATCTCTGCTAGCCTGCCCTCCTGAGCAGGCTAGCAGAGATCATTGAGGATTTCGCATTTTCTTAGAATTCAGCCCCGATAGTTGAGAGAAAAAGCGTTAAAGTATCCTTTAGTATGCAATTGGCGAAGAGGCGCCGCTACCAGGCCCAGGCGCACCGAAAAATGTCTCGGGCATGCAAATTTGGGATTAGATTTTTGTAGAATATTTTTTTTTAATGCGGGCTTCTCACCTGCTACCAAAACTTTGCGCAGCACGAAGTTCAGCCCTCGGTTTCCCGTCGTCGTCCACAATTTTGCCGGCCTCATCTGAAAGGCGGAGATTTCAAAATTAATAAATAAAAATGAATATTATTCGAAAACATTTTTCGGCATGTAGCATCATTTAAATTCTTGGATTTAATTTGAAAGTCACGTCCCGGAATATGGTTTGGTAACGCAAAAAAAAAGATGTTTCATCCTCTATAGTGCACATCTGTGAATACTTTTTGACAATGGTTTCTCACGGTTCAGTAAAAATAGGCAGTAAGTTTTTATTTATTTTCATAAAATTTATATACAAAATACATAAAGATACTAAGGATAAATAAATATTACTCAACCCCTTTAAAGATGTAGCTTAACTTAAATCCCTGGATTTAGCGAAACTTTCCTTGACAGGGCTAGTCTCAGGTTAAAAAGAATGTTTCATAGTATATAATTTAAGTCGGTGAATAATTTTTATACATTGTAGATAGATTGGCAAGCCGCCCAAAAACCATCAATCCGATATTTTTTTTTAATTCATAAAAGCTAAAAATCTACAGACCCTGAAAAAGAATGTTTAGAAACTAGGTTCTAATTCCTTGCGCTGATTTTGCATATAGTTTCGTATTTTAGATACCATGTATCGAAAAAAGTATCCGTAATTTTTCTAATTCTTGAAAATTCTGGTTTTTTATAACTGAAATTTCCTAGCTATTTAACAGCACCGGACGACACAAATTGGAAGAGGGAAAAAGAAAGTTTGTGGTCGGAGAAGGGAAGAGATAGATTTGCAAAATCCAGTTTACAGTATTTCAATAACCAATTATTTTCTAATTAGTGTGAGTCATAAAATAAGGGTTTTTCTCCTGGATGTCAAAAAAGCTACATTTAATTGTTGGCAAAATCCATTAAAATTGGCGCGAAGAAAAGAAATGTTTCGTCAAAAAAACGACTGTTCTCACAAAAAGTAAGATTAATGGTGCATTTTCGGCAAAGCAAATCTTTAGCTGCTGGATATAACAAGCCAGGCTAATCGTTTTGGCAAATTGAAAATTGAATTAAATTGAAAATGATTGAAAAATTTGATTCTGCCGAAAACCATTTTGACGAAGTAGCATTTTTACGAAATATCATTTGTCGGAGTTTCATTTTTCGACAAAATGATATTTTGGCAAAATTAAATTTCGTAAAAAATTATATTAGGAAGAATGAACTTTCTAAAAACTTGAAGCAATTCAAGAATTACTACTATTAAAAGCCTTTCTCAGAAAAGCTATGTTTCAATGATTTAACTAATTACGTAATTAATCAAAACCCGAATTCATCGATCTCTTTTCCTGAAAATAACATTCTCAAGAACCTTGGCCTCAAGTTTTTATGATATTCAAAAATTTTTCGACGTATTATTGAAGTTTCGACTTCGATTTTTTTCGAAATCGAATCCTAAAGCCACGAAAAGGACAGCAGAAAAAAAACGGAACGCAATTCCGGTGCGGAAAGCGGAAAGTGCGCCAAAATACTGGCATAGGTATAGAAATGTAGTGCGGACCATGATTACGGTATATACGTTATGCAAATTACCCCTTCGCCGGAGCGAAAAAAATCGCTGCGGAAAGGTGCCTGAAATGTTGTTGCTAGCAAATTAAATTCTTTAATTCTTTAAAATATAATACTGCTTAATAATACTGCAATTTAAAAAATTGTTTAGATTAAAGTTAAGTTAAAATAAGAATTTGAATCTGATAAAAATAAAATAAAACGCACCGCCATCGCTGATGCTGCGCTTCCGGGGCGCCTCGTCGGTTATTGGGGAACGGAGCTGGAAAATGGTTCAATTAAATACAGGCTTAATACCATATTAATCAAATTAAATTTTATCCATTAAATCCATCATTAATTTACTAAACTAACCATTTAAATAAATTCCATTTAAATGTTGTATTATCGTTTCTTCTTTGAATTGAATTTTATTTTATTTTTAGTTTGCGTTCTTATTTGATTGCTTGGTTTAAAATTCACAGAAAATGCTTTACCTGTGAAACTCATTTTTTGCCCAATTTTTGAAAAGTCGTAAGGCTCTAAAAAGTCAAAATTTGAGCGCGAATTTAAGCCAATTGTTTTAGAAGCAACCGGGGTGTTTTCGGGAAAAAACGACTTTTTGGAATGATTAAAGTTATGTTAGGGTCCCAGAAACGGGTGGGCCAGACTTCATGGCTCCTTTAGGGATAGGACGTGAATAATTTTCCCGGAAAATCTTCCCGAATTTCGTCATATTAAACGTTAGACTTTATGAATTTCGACGTTCTCAGATTAACCCGAAAAAAGCACAGCATCAAAAAAGTAATAGATTTTATTAGAAGTCCGCCGTAAAAAAATGAGTTTCATGAAAAATCGTATCTAGTAAATTATCACCCACAATAATAAGCGAAGCGACGAAGTGACCATGTTTTTTGCATAATTTCGGTATTATGATATTTCGGCATTATGAATTTCGATACTGTCAAATTTCGAAATTAGCAAATTCCGACATTATGAAATTTCGACAATATGCTACCGAATCGCTTGCCTTAATTTAATTTATCGAAGTTTCTCTTAAATTTGCCTCTTCTTTTTCTTAAAAAAACAAGACTATATTTTTAGCTATAGGTTGTAGCCCAACCCCAGCTTACCTGTGGCGAGTCTTTTCCCGCCTTTTCCTCGGTGATCGAGGGCAACTGCGTTTCCGAGCTGATCCGGGGTGATTTTGGAGGCTAAAATATTCAAATTTTAACCTATAAAATTGCTTGAAGGTAACTGTACCGAGTGCCGATTCGTGAAAACAATTTTTGTGCTGTCAGGAACTTTGCTGAAACACGATAATGTTTCGACGCTACTAACTAAAAAAATTTAATTGAATTCGTGGGAGTCAAAGTAATGTCTACAGCATGAATTGAACGAAATTAATCAATTTGAATTACAAATTTACGAAAACTATAGTTAAAACCATTACAGCAAAAATATCTATTAACTTTTAGCATTTTAATGAAGCTCGGAAAAATCCAAATAGTAAACATTCCTTAAAAAATAGCATCTATTTTTAACATAACAATTATGTAAATGAAAATAACAATTTTTTAAATACAATAACGTATAAATAATGCAACAAATTAATTATACAAATTTACCTGGTCATCGGCCGACTCGTAGCCGGCGCTCTCCGGCTCGGACCCGTCAAAGGATGTGGAAAATACTAAAAAACCATTATTAAATATTTTATATTCATTTTAAATTTTTAAAGATTTTTTTTTCCCCCCCGCCTCCCCTTTTTTTTTTTTTTTTTTTAAATTAATTAAAAAAAAAAAAAAAATTTTTTTTTTTTTTTTGTTGTTTTTTTTTTTTTTTTTTTTTTCATAAAAAAAAAAAAAAGGAAAGAACGAAGGGGGGGGGGGGGGGGGGGGGGGTTAAAATTTACCTGGCCGTGAAGCGTCTTCAGAGGTTTGCGAGTTTACCTAAATTCGAAAATTCATAAATATCCACAACATTTTTTTTCAACTTTAAGAATTTATGTTTCGGAGATATTTTAGTACCGACAAAAATCGGAAAAATTACTAGTCAGCACTCATTAAAAAAATAATACACTAAAATAATTAAAATTGAAAGTCAAGGTAGACAAACATAAAAAAATATATTGCATTTAACTAATCGATATATTTTGCATTCATTCATTACTATGTTATTCTCATTTTAGTAAATTCTTGTAGCTTATTGGCCCCGCAAATTTAATTTTAAAGTCTTCAGAATATCATAAATTTCTAAGAAATCTTAAATGAATTTTGTAAGTTTCAAAATGGTAATATTTTTTGTTTATTAACTGCGGTTAACACCAGTTTAAATTACTATCAAATCCCGATCTCAAATCTGCATAAAATTTGAAACATTTCTGGACGAACGTCTTGCAGTTGTGGTCGGAAGATCTCCTTCTTCTTCCCCGATTTGTCGCCCATTAATGCGCCGACGTCCTTGTAGACGGACACTGCCATGATGTCGTCCATGCTGAAAAATGGATTTAAACCAACACAACATAGACGAGGTATTAAAATGAAACGCTATTTGGAAACCAGCCGATTCTTTGAAACCAATTAGTTCTTCAGGTCAATTTTTGAGGTCATTAATATGGTTAATAAGTTTATTTGTTATATATTTTTAAAAAAGTATTTATAAATAAACAATAGCAAAAGATTAAAATACCATTTCACTAGTTTTCAATATTTTCGTTCATCCAAAAACTATGTTTCACCAAAACTTAAAATCGCAATTTTTTCGCCTGGGGAAGATTGTCAATTACAGAACATTGCACCAAAAGGTCAGGCATCTATTTTAACTATTTAAAAAATTTAACTAATTTGACTTTGATCGTAAATTTAAAATTAATAGGCTAATATAAATAAATTTTATGACAAAGAAACCAAACGCTTACAAACAATTCCATTAAAAACTGAATGCTTCAAATTTTATGTGCTCGCAGGACAGTTCCTTATCTTATAACTTTTAATCCGGCAGTGGTCGGTGTAGAAAAATGGACATCTTGATTTTTTTATTGTTATTGCCTTGCATTTTTAGCCGTCACGCTGCAGTTAAAAATTTGTTAAGTCCAAATTAAAAAAATGGATAAATGCACTGACTTCGCCACCATCCCATACAAATCGGGGCCATTCTCCTTGACCAGGGGGTGCGAGACGTCGGGATCGAACATCAGACAATTTGGGGTGACGAGTAGTGTGCCAGTTACGGTACCGTCGGACTCGGTGAGTTGTTTTACCTGGAAAAATCGTTTTATTGGGTTAAAATATGCCTCTCTCTCTATCTCGCTCTCTTTCTCTCTCTCTCCATCCCTCGCTCTCTCTCAATCCCTCTCTCCTTCTCTCTCTCTCGCTCTCTCTCTCTCTCTCTCTCTCTCTCACACTCTCTCTCTCTCCGTATCTCGCTTGCTTTCTCCCTCTCCTCTCTCTCACTCTCACACTATCTCGCCCCTCTCTCTCTCTCTCTCTCTCTCTCTTCTCCCTCTCTCGATACCTCTCGAAAAAAAAGCCTTTAAAATAGTCTTTCTGGTTTTTTCAAAGCTGCTTAATTTAAATTCGAGATAAAATTAATGTGATAGATTTTTACCATATTTTCCCAGCCTTCAACGCTCCTTTAATACGCCCAAATCCCGAAGATGCCTTCATTGTGGGCCGACAGGGCGGGGTATTGACCACACACGGGTGGTGGCTGTGTGCTCTCTGCGTGTTCCCTTCTCTTCCCCCACTCGCCCCCCACCTAGCCCACTCCTCTCCCACTTCCTCACCCGTACCCCCACCGCAATGAAATATCTTAATCTGCCCGGGCCTTTGCTAAGACCCAGGGTGATCAATTTTTGGAAGCATCGCAAGATGCAATATCAGAATAGGATTACAGTGGCTGTAATCTAGCCGGTTTTAGCCGAAATTGCCAAAGGTTTGTGACGAAACAACCGCAAAGTCGTGGTTGTTTTTAATTAATTAAAATTAAACTTGTCGTTTCAAATAATAAGTTTTGAAAATCGGGATTGTTCTGTAGTGCAAGCGCAAAATAATGCTTTCGTTTTCGGTGGGGGGGGGGGGGGGCGGGGGGGGGGGGGGGGGGGGGGGGGGGGGGGGGGGGGGGGGGGGGGGGGCGCTGCTTTTTCCCCCCTCCCCCCCCCCCCTCCCCCTCGAACGGCGGGGAGGGGGGGGCGGCGGCTTTGCCCTACCGTAGTTGGTATTCCGGTAGTTGGTATGGAATAATGATAAAATGAGATAAAAATCACCCAGCAATTCCTAATTATTGCATGAATAAAAAATATTTTGCACATTTGATTGGAGAAAGCTTGAAAAGTCCTATACTTTTTGTAGTACAAGCTTCTAAAAAATCACATTGCGATTTTCTGTAAAGTTATTTTGCCCGTTTGTTGCGGCTCCTCATTAGCCCAGTAGCTGGTATCAGCAAAGCGTCAAAATTAAGAAACATGATTTTTGCCTATTTAAAATAGGTGAAGCCTAGTCACCTAATTATTCGCTAAAAAATTCTTGAATTCAAAATATTTTAGGGATTGCTTGTTTTTAAATTGTAAATTAGTTTAACCTTTGCGTTCACAAAAACCAATTTAATTTACCAAAATCGCCAATTTTTTCGAGTTAAAACGCCCTAAATTGCAGAACAAAGGCTTAATTTCACTTTTTGTAAAGGAAAATTGAATGCAAAAACTCAGTAAAAAGATGCTACCTTTATTTTCAAAAACCTCTGCAGGCAGTCGCTGTCCACAGAGTCGCCATCAGCCGTATCACTTTTCGTGGGGGCGCTCTGGGTTTTTAGCAGGTTTCCACGGGAGTTCGATGGGACAGCACCGCCCGGCCCTTTTCGGATGCCGTCCGCTAAAAAATGTTTCATCCTTTCCTTGTTAAAAATTAATTATGTTTTTCATTATTCTGGTAGTATCTGCCATGGGGTATAAGAATACAAAAAGTGCAACTGGGTAAAAGGACGAATAAAGATTTTACGCTCTATAATTATAAATTTTACCACATAATTTATATACAGGGTGTCCCAAAACCCCCTCTCCCCCCCCCCGCGGGGCCCGGTTTTCCCCCTTTGGGTTTTTTTCGGAAAATTTCTAAAAGAGAAAAAAAAAAAAGGGAAAAAAAAATAATTTTTAAATTTTAATTTTTTTTTTTATTTAAAAAAAAAAAAAAAAAAGAGGGAATAATAAGGTATTGTTCTGAATTTGTAATATAAAAAATAAAAAAAATTTAATTATTAATAAAAATTTAAAATTGGAAAAAAAAAAAAAAAAAAAAAAAAAAAAAAGTTTTTTTTTTTTTTTTCTTTTCTGTGGGGGTTTATAATATAAAAAAGAATTTTGTTTTCCCCGGCCCCCCGAGGGGGGGGGGGGGTTTTTGGTGCGATACATTTTCTTGTGTTTAATAAGCTAAAACCGATCTACTTCGGTTCCATTTAAAGAAGATACATTTAGCTTTTTTGACCGCGTAACTAAGATCAAAATCAATTCGTAAACAGTGGACGGGAAATCGAATGTTTCTCGGTTATAAAGGTCACCCAACTATATAATTTATCCATTTCGTACTCCATTAGTGTGTTCTTATTTTGCTTTTATTTCAGCTGAATTTAACATTTTTTGGCTTACGGAATTAGAATAATCATTAAAGCGTAAATAGCAGAGTAAAATTAGAAAATTCGAGTTTAAAAAAAGGTTTATAAACTTAAAATTTTTAATTTTACTTAGTAAATTAAGGTTTTTAATTAAATGTTTCTAAATCCCAACTACTTACGTGCGGCCTGAGCACCACTGATTCCTGCTGGCAGTAGCGCGGCAGATGCGTCAAAAACGTCATCCGACATCGGGGAAGGCACCAGGATTTTCTGACCCGGGAACACCTGAAAAATTATTTTATAGAACGTTAAAAAAATCGGTAGAATTTGCCTAGGCCTAGCAGGTCAAATTATTGTAGCAAAAATGTTTAAAAATTAAACTAAAAAAAACAAAAAACCATTTATGCCGATTAAATAGCCTGAATTTCTGAAAAATTTCATTGATTTTTGCTGATGATTTAGCGTTTTGAATGGCCAAAAATTGTCCCAAAAGAAGGCTGATCGTTGAAACATCTAGTCGGCCCCGGGAAATGGCCAGGTTTTCCGGGGGGCGCGTGGGAAAAGCGATATTTCGCAGAAAGAGCAGTCCCCAGCGGCGGCAACTGGCTGTTTTGACTATCACGAGGGAATGGGGGCGAGAAGCTTTGTTTAAATTTTGGGCGCCGCCATATTTGCGGGCGTGCAAATCATAAAATGCACGTTGAAAATGATACATAAAATGTAGCCAATTTAAAATTTTAATCAAAATGTTTCGACATTTGATGAGGGAAATCTTTTAATTGAATTGGCAATACCTCTCAGAGCGCGTCTTTGGATTTGCAGACCAAAGATTCAAGAGGAAGTTTGGACCAAAGAGGAGGGCAGGCAAGCAAAGATTGTTTGAGGAAATGGACGGACCCCGAGAGGAGGGCAGGCTAGCAGAGATTGTTTGAGGAAATGGACGGACCCCGAGAGGAGGGCAGGCTAGCAGAGATTGTTTGAGAAATGGACGGACCCCGAGAGGAGGGCAGGCAGCAGAGATGTTTGAGGAAATGGACGGACCCCGAGAGAGGGCAGGCTAGCAGAGATGTTTGAGGAAATGGACGACCCCGAGAGGAGGCAGGCTAGCAGAGATTGTTTGAGGAAATGGACGGACCCCGAGAGGAGGGCAGGCAGCAGAGATTGTTTGAGGAAATGGACGGACCCCGAGAGGAGGGCAGGCTAGCAGAGATTGTTTGAGGAAATGGACGGACCCCAGAGGAGGGCAGGCTAGCAGAGATTGTTTGAGGAAATGGACGGACCCCGAGAGGAGGGCAGGCTAGCAGAGATTGTTTGAGGAAATGGACGGACCCCGAGAGGAGGGCAGGCTAGCAGAGATTGTTTGAGAAATGGACGGACCCGAGAGGGAGGGCAGGCTAGAGAGATTGTTTGAGGAAATGGACGGACCCCGAGAGGAGGGCAGGCTAGAGAGATTGTTTGAGAAATGGACGGACCCCGAGAGGAGGGCAGGCTAGCAGGGATTGTTTGAGGAAATGGACGGACCCCGAGAGGAGGGCAGGCTAGCAGAGATTGTTTGAGGAAATGGACGGACCCCGAGGAGGGCAGGCTAGCAGAGATTGTTTGAGGAAATGGACGGACCCCGAGAGGAGGGCAGGCTAGCAGAGATTGTTTGAGGAAATGGACGGACCCCGAGAGGAGGGCAGGCTAGCAGAGATGGAGGAGGAAATGGACGGACCCCGAGAGGAGGCAGGCTAGCAGAGATGGAGGAGGAAATGGACGACCCCGAGAGGAGGGCAGGCTAGCAGAGATGGAGGAGGAAATGGACGGACCCCGGAGGAGGGCAGGCTAGCAGAGATTGGAGGAGGAAATGGATGGACCCCGAGAGGAGGGCAGGCTAGCAGAGATTGTTTGAGGAAATGGACGGACCCCGAGAGGAGGGCAGGCTAGCAGAGATTGGTTGAGGAAATGGACGGACCCCGAGAGGAGGGCAGGCTAGCAGAGATGTTTGAGGAAATGGACGGACCCCGAGAGGAGGGCAGGCTAGCAGAGATTGGAGGAGGAAATGGACGGACCCCGAGAGGAGGGCAGGCTAGAGAGATTGTTTGAGAAATGGACGGACCCCGAGGGAGGGCAGGCTGCAGGGATTGTTTGAGGAAATGGACGGACCCCGAGAGGAGGGCAGGCAGCAGAGATTGTTTGAGGAAATGGACGGACCCCGAGAGGAGGGCAGGCTAGCAGAGATTGGAGGAGGAAATGGATGGACCCCGAGAGGAGGGCAGGCTAGCAGAGATTGTTTGAGGAAATGGACGGACCCCGAGAGGAGGGCAGGCTAGCAGAGATGGAGGGAGGAAATGGACGGACCCGAGAGGAGGGCAGGCTAGCAGAGATTGGAGGAGGAAATGGACGGACCCCGAGAGGAGGGCAGGCTAGCAGGGATGGAGGAGGAAATGGACGGACCCCGAGAGGAGGGCAGGCTAGCAGAGATTGGGGAGGAAATGGATGAACCCCGAGAGGAGGGCAGGCTAGCAGAGATTGGAGGAGGAAATGGACGGACCCCGAGAGGAGGGCAGGCTAGCAGAGATTGGAGGAGGAAATGGACGGACCCCGAGAGGAGGGCGGCTAGCAGAGATTGGAGGAGGAAATGGACGGACCCCGAGAGGAGGGCAGGCTAGAGAGATTGGAGGAGGAAATGGACGGACCCCGAGAGGAGGGCAGGCTGCAGAGATTGGAGGAGGAAATGGACGGACCCCGAGAGGAGGGCAGCCTAGCAGAGATTGGAGGAGGAAATGGACGGACCCCGAGAGGAGGGCAGGCTAGCAGAGATTGGAGGAGGAAATGGACGGACCCCGAGAGGAGGGCAGGCTAGCAGAGATTGGAGGAGGAAATGGACGGACCCCGAGAGGAGGGCGGCTAGCAGAGATGGAGGAGGAAATGGACGGACCCCGAGAGGAGGGCAGCCTAGCAGGGATTGGAGGAGGAAATGGACGGACCCCGAGAGGAGGCAGGCTAGCAGAGATTGGAGGAGGAAATGGACGGACCCCGAGAGGAGGGCAGGCTAGCAGAGATTGTTTGAGGAAATGGACGGACCCCGAGAGGAGGGCAGGCTAGCAGAGATTGTTGTGGAACTTGACTCGAAAACCTTACCATTCTGCTGCCCATCCGGTTGAGCTTCATCAGTTCTCCCACCGTACAATCATGTGCGGCCGCAATCCGCTCCAGCGAGTCGGTGGGCGTGACCGTGTAGTCCATCTGTAATTACGACATGTTATAAAGTTAATGAAATTTTGTTAAGTTTAGATAAAAAGGCGAAAAAAGCGATAAAACTACTTTCGGAAGCGCTATTTCACTACAGCCAACAGAGATAAGCGATGCATTAAAAGTCGAAACAATCAACCCTGCAACTCAATTTTTCGAAACATAAAATTTCGAAAAAGTAAACACACTTTTCCATACCCTAATTAGAGTTAAGATCGACTTTTTTCCGGGATTTACGACAATTCCAACCCCCTCAAAAAATATAATTGGATTTCATGTCGTAATGCATTGATCGATTACGTCATGAAATGTCAAGGTATTTGGCCCAGTGTTCTGGCATGCGCTCGCGTTCTCGAATAGAAAGTGGGCTCAAGTGGGCTTCTTACGAAACATCTTTTTCAGTAAAAAAATACAAAAGGCATTAGGAAAGACAAAAAGAAAAGCCAAAAATAACTTCTAGTTGTTAGCAAAAAGTACAACGAAATTAACAAACTTTCGTTTAATAAACGTTAAATAAACGTTGAATTTTCGAAAATATAATTTTTTATGAAACATAAAATTATGTTTCTAGACTCCTCGATGCAAAAATGGAGCTATAGGTGCAATTTCAGATGACCCGCCTCCGCCATCACCCCTCCAAAATTTGCACAAATTTTGTGTCGTAATGTATTGGTCGGTTACGTCATGAAATGTTAGGGGTTTGGCCCCGAGTTTTCTCATGCGATATTGCAAGTGATTCTTGAATGAAAACTCAACCTCAAGTGGCCTTTTTACGAAATATTTTTTAATAAAAACAATAAAGAGGGAATCTAGGAAAAAGAAAAGCAAGAACAAAAAAAATAACTTTATTGACGCCTAACTGTTGGCGAAAAGTAAGGGAAACGTAACAAGCGCGATACCGGCAAAAGCCAAATTTTCGGAAATAGAAATTTTTATGAAACATATCATCATTTTCTAGACTTTTCGATGCAAAAATGGAGCTATAGGTGCAATTTCAGATAGCCCCCCTCCATTACCCCTCCAAAATCTGCACAAATGACATGTCGTAATGTAATGGTCGGTTACGTAATGAAATGTCGGGGACTTGAACCCAAATTGTGAGTGCGATTTGTGTAAATGATTCTTGAATCAAAACTTAACCTGAAGTGGCCTTTTCTACGAAACCTACGAAACATTTTTTAATAAAAACATAAAGAAGGAATATAGGAAAAAGAAAAGCAAGAACAAAAAAATAACTTTATTGACGCCTATTTTTTTGCGAAAATTAAGTACCAAGTAACCACGCATATCGACAAAAATTAAATTTTCGGGAATGAAACACACCAGTATAATGCAAAACTGAATCCAAAACCGAGTTATACTAACAATTAATTAAACCGTCTATATTTTTAATAAAAAGCCTCAAAACCTGAAATTAGCTGTTTTTGTGACACGAGCAAACAAAAACCCTGAACCTACAGCTAAAAAAAATCGATTTTCAACAGGTTCTAAAGCCTTAATTTCCATTAAATTTACAAATAAAATGCAATCATATAAATTCCGAGATTGGAAATAGATATTTACATCAAATGAGTCATTAGCAGGTTAAATTTTTGATCCAAAAAAGAGTTTGAAACACAATTCTAAAGCCGTAATTTTCAATCCAAGCTTCTAAACCTAATAAAATCGATAAACCTGATAACGTAAAGTGGAAAGTAGCGGAAAATCAGCCAAATCGATCGGGTTTGAAAAGTTTTTGATGGCTTGACCTAAATTGGGCAGAGGGGGCGGATTTGGCCGAAAATGGGGGGAGGGTGGGGGCGACGCGGGGATACAAATGACACCGAGTGACCAGGGGGAATGCATCACGCGCCGAAATTGGAGAGCCATTAAATATTAGAAAAAAGAGAGATCTATTGGAAATCGGGTACTGGTTGCTTAACGGGGGGGTGATATAAAGGCGGACCGAAACAATTTTTCCGATTTTTCAAAATTTTCATTTTTTTTTTTTAAATAATTAATACAGAGCCTCGTTGTATCTATTCAAGCATGCCATCCGATAGATCTTTTGAAAAATTATATTAAGGATATATTAAATATATTTAAACATAATTATGTTTAGAAATATATAAAATTATATATATTAACTATATTAAGAATTTTAGTTATATTTCAGCCCCAAATACCATAATTTGGGTTCTTTAGGATTCGCGGGGGGAAACCAAATTTTTCGGCACAAGCCTAGATTTTTTATAAATTGCGGATGCGTTCTAAATTGTTTTAACTATTCCTGAGCATAAAAAATACAAAAAAAATAAAAAAATTATAATTAGGTCGAATAATCCTATAGAACCTTTAGGATTCCGGGGGAAGACCCAAAATGATCAAATTTTCGACTTTTTCAAACATTTTTCTAAATTTTCTGAAAGTTATTCTGCTTTAAATATAGTTAAAACTTACTAAAAACAATTCGAAAACACTTTATATTTGATTACTAAGTCAATATACAAATATAGATTAATTCACAAGCGTTGAAGATCGCTTTTTTTCGGGCTGAAATTACACCTCGTAATCGCATATGGACTCCGCAAGGCTCAATGTGGCGATAAATCCACAAGTGAGCTGCTGTTGCCTCGAAACTTATTTTTTTTTAGTTTAATAATTCCCAAGCGGTGTTTAATAAAAAAATATATTTCCTGGTGGGGTTCTTTCGCATTATCGGGGGGAGATCAAAGATCAACTAGGAAAATAATCTACAGAGTTTTCAAATAAACGAAATTTTGGCAATTACCGGCCATTTTTGGTCGAAAAATCGATATATTTGGCATTTTGTAATAAGCTTTTGTTTACTCTTCAAGCTTAGGAAAAACTATTTAGAAACACTTCCACGATTTATATTTGGAAAATAAGAGCCGGTCAAAAAAAAAGGAGTGAATCAATTCATGGAAAAACGTGGAATCAAGTAAATGCATGAAACATTTTTTTTGAAATGGTCGAGATAAAATGTGTAAATAAATAAATTTAATTAAATAAAATGTGTGCTAGAAATGAGATAGATTTTCAACCTGAGAAATGGAAGCTGAATAATCATTATACATTATCTTCCGCCCAATCTCCCGGTTTATTTATTTTTCCGAAACACTTTTTTTACAAAAATTTGCGTTTTACTCGTTAAAACAGGACCTCGAGGTCACCCCTCCGTGGGATGGGTAAAATATCGAGTTTAGGAAGGCTGAGGGGGGATGCGGGCCATTTTGGATGGGGTGAAGGGGGGCAAGAAGCGCGTCGCCCTCCCGCACGGCTTCCCCCCTTCCCTTCAGGGCATACGACCACACACACACGCAAAAAAAGAGAGAGCCACCCAAAAAAGCGGCAGAAGATTTGGGCTCTCGCTTAAAGGGCACCCGGCCAACCCTCTTTTGGAAGAGAGAGAGAGAAGGAGAGAGAGAGAGAGAGAGAGAGAGAAAGAGAAATCGATGTGTGTGACCACGCACTCACTCACTCCCATCCCCAAAAAAACGCATGAAAACTGACAACAAATGGACGGGCTTATGGCTGCAGGCTACGAAAAAAGCGGAAACACCTTTTAAAAAATTAGGATAGTAGGCTGGCATTTCGACCCCTTGAGGAAGGCAGGCTAGCAGAGATTGCTTGAGGAAATGGACGGACCCCGAGAGGAGGGCAGGCTAGCAGAGATTGTTTGAGGAAATGGACGGACCCCGAGAGGAGGGCAGGCTAGCAGAGATTGTTTGAGGAAATGGACGGACCCCGAGAGGAGGGCAGGCTAGCAGAGATTGTTTGAGGAAATGGACGGACCCCGAGAGGAGGGCAGGCTAGCAGAGATTGTTTGAGGAAATGGACGGACCCCGAGAGGAGGGCAGGCTAGCAGAGATTGTTTGAGGAAATGGACGGACCCCGAGAGGAGGGCAGGCTAGCAGAGATTGGAGGAGGAAATGGACGGACCCCGAGAGGAGGGCAGGCTAGCAGGGATTGTTTGAGGAAATGGACGGACCCCGAGAGGAGGGCAGGCTAGCAGAGATTGGAGGAGGAAATGGACGGACCCCGAGAGGAGGGCAGGCTAGCAGAGATTGGAGGAGGAAATGGACGGACCCCGAGAGGAGGGCAGGCTAGCAGGGATTGTTTGAGGAAATGGACGGACCCCGAGAGGAGGGCAGGCTAGCAGAGATTGTTTGGGGAAATGGACGGACCCCGAGAGGAGGGCAGGCTAGCAGGGATTGTTTGAGGAAATGGACGGACCCCGAGAGGAGGGCAGGCTAGCAGGGATTGTTTGAGGAAATGGACGGACCCCGAGAGGAGGGCAGGCTAGCAGGGATTGTTTGAGGAAATGGACGGACCCCGAGAGGAGGGCAGGCTAGCAGAGATTGTTTGAGGAAATGGACGGACCCCGAGAGGAGGGCAGGCTAGCAGAGATTTTTTGAGGAAATGGACGGACCCCCTGGGGAGGGCAGAGTGGCAGAGATTCGCAGTTTTTTAAAATTTACGCTTTTGATAATTCTAGGCTTTAACGAGGTTTCTAGATACCGAAAAATTTCAAAATATGTTGCGCAGATGACGAAAATGGCCTACAAACTACAACAAAGTTCCGCCAGGACCACAGTCCTTTTTTGGGTAATTTTTTGGAGGGGTTCTCCTCCGGAGGGCTTATCTGTTGTTTGGGTCCTGCCGCGAATCAATCTCGGCTCCTTTCCTTATGATTTCTCTCTCCGCTCTCTCTCTCTCTCTCTCTCTCTCTCTCTCTCTCTTTCTCCCTCTCTTTCATTTTCTATGGCCCGAAAGGAGGGGAGTGACCCGGAGGGGGGCTAACTAAAAACAACTCGTTCTCCCAGCCCGGAGAGCCGGGAACCCTGGAAAAGAATAATAACGCCCAAATACAAGGGGACGTGATTAAGATGGTTACAGTTTTGGTTATGCGCTGGATTGTCAATATCCCGCCTTGCCGAACCCTAAAATTTCTTGAAACATATTTTTTTCCCAAAAAAATGGATTTGTGAATTATACAGGTGTGCAAAAAAACCCTCCCCCCCCAACCTAGAGGTCCTCAGCCGTTCGGGGTTTTTATGATTTAGGTATCTGTCAAAATAGCATAGGAGTAGGGGAAATAGAGAATTTCCGATGCCTCTCCGAAGAAACGGTTTTCTTACAAATCACAATTTTATGAATTTTACGCCATCCCTGATAGCCCTAAGTTTTTTTTGGTAGAAAACGTGTAATTTTGGCATAAAAATGCCGAAAATCAGATGAAAAATTCGGGAATTTGGCAAACCGGAAAGGATATATCTCCTCAGCTCGTGGAGAGCTCTCGATGGATACCAAAATCATGGAAAACGGACACGATCGCCGACCTCCGGGTAGGGTTTTTTGGAGCAGCCGATACAATCGAAGAATTTAAATTTTTGGGAAAAATGTATGTTTTTAGAAACTGTGGTTTAGGTTTTATTAGCCTAACATCAAAATAGGAAAAAAGTTCCCGGAAAAGTGGCCGGCCATCCAGTCGATAGGCGTATGTAAGCGGGAGGCGCGCGCAGTGTGGTCAGCCACCCCACTGGACCCCGGGTGAAACTTTTTTCATTATTTCCGGGGAGTGAACTGGCAAGAGAAAGTGAGACAGAGCGAAAAAGAGAGAGTGAGAGAGAGAGACAGACAGACAGATGGCACAACCACGTGACACAGAGCAAGCTCTGCACTGCCGATCGGACAGCTGATCTCAAAGTTATCACTCATTTTTTTGAGAGAGAAAGAGAGAGCGAGAGAGCGAGAGAGAGAGAGAGAGAGAGAGAGGGAGAGAGAGAGAAAGAGAGAGAGAGAAAGAGAGCAAGAGGGATCTGAAGAAACATATAGGCAGGGGCGTAGCCAGAAAAAAATTTCGGGGGGGGGGCCCCAAAAAATTTTCCCAAAAAACTCAAAACACAATCGAAAAAACAGCGCCGCAGGCAAAAATTTTTGAAAAAAGGTTGCATAGCTTTACAAATAGCCGTAAAAACGTGATAAAATAGCGCCGCAGGCAACAAAATTTTTGAGAAAATGCAAATCATAAGGGTCCCCCCTTATGAAATTTTCGGGCCCCGGCCGATTTCGGGGGCGGGCCCCCGGGGCCGGTATTTGCATATAGGTAGTCATAAATACTTCGTTTGAGCCAAATTATCAAAAGTTTTGATTCAAAACCAAATCCGCTAAAAATTCGATGTTTCTCCGGCGTTTACATAAGATAGCTTTGTTGTCTACGGTAATTTCCAACTCACGTCTTGGCGAACACAATCCTGCACTTATTCAATTTGCCGGATCTTTGTAAACCGATGAAAGATCCAAAAATCAATAAAAAAAAGATTCGTTTTCAATGGCAACAAAAATCCGCAAAATTGCTATTTCTTTTGCTTTTCTAATGCATTTACGTTTCATTAAGAGTTTAAATAAACGCACATGATCATTTTTGACAAACTTTTGAAACCCAAATCAAAATATACCTTCTAACTTAAGGTATTTTAAAAAATGGACTGTAAATTACAAAAAAACAATAAGATTGAGCCTCGATCCCGGGCAGGAATTGCGCAAAAAAAATATTAAAATTGAGAAAATTAAATAAGCGTTTAATTTTGCTTATCTTGCCATAACCATTTGATTTTACGGTATTTTGGGCTGAAATCAAAACACGAATAAGTATTTTTTTGTTGACGCTCCAGCGTATGACCCCAAAATCGCAACAAAATACGATTTTTTTGGGAAATTATGGGAGTAAAAATTTGTCGAAAAAATCAAGTCATGCCTTGCTAGTCCCTTTAAAAATTGCCAACTATCTCTCCGTTCTCTCTCTCTCTCTCCGGATTCCCGTTCTCTCATCGCATAACGCATAAAACAAAGGGGGAAAGCCCCAAAAGGGGTTCGTCGCCGCGGGACCACCCAAATCCACAGCAGCCTCAAAAAATGCACTCGTCCCTGCTCGGCCCTGACGGCCCCTAAAAAGACAAAGAACACACTTTTTTGAGGGACTCTCCCCGCGGGGGCAAACAATGCATTTCGCTTATGCCAACTGGGACGCTGCCGAAAAAATTCCGATGAGGGAAATATTTACTTTTTTTGAGAAATTGGACATTAGAATTCTAGGAGGAGGGCGGGCTAGCAGAGATTGTTTGAGGAAATGGACGGACCCCGAGAGGGGGGCAGGCTAGCAGAGATTGTTTGAGGAAATGGACGGACCCCGAGAGGAGGGCAGGCTAGCAGAGATTGTTTGAGGAAATGGACGGACCCCGAGAGGGGGGCAGGCTAGCAGAGATTGTTTGAGGAAATGGACGGACCCCGAGAGGAGGGCAGGCTAGCAGAGATTGGAGGAGGAAATGGACGGACCCCGAGAGGAGGGCAGGCTAGCAGAGATTGTTTGAGGAAATGGACGGACCCCGAGAGGGGGGCAGGCTAGCAGAGATTGGAGGAGGAAACCTGTTTGTGGGTGTTCGTTTTGAGTAGAGTGGCTGGGGGGTTGGGTTCGAATCGAATCAGTGGTTGAGGGACACAAAGCCTTCTTTCCATCCCTCTCCTTCTTCCGGCTCACTTTTTGACTGGCTCCCTTTAGGGGGAACGGCGGGGAGGGAACGAACCCTCGGGGCACAAAACAGCCCGGGTCCCCCACTGGCTTTCAGCTGGGCTTACCGATACCTAGGGCCCCAGAATACCTTAGCTTAGGCTTGGACTTAGGCTTAGCTTGGGCTTGGGCCTGAATGCCCCCCTGACTTGGCATAACAAGTTAAAAAAGCGAGCGCGACTTACCGGTGCTCTGTTGGACTGCAGTGATGGCTGCACCGAATCGCTCAGCGACAGCGCCTTCTGCCGGACCATCTCCTTCATTTTGCCCAACTTCAGCGAGGCGCCAGAGCGGATACGCTGCGATAGGAGCGTCGAGCTCATCCTAGAATTTCTAGATACAAAATTCCAAGACAAGCTTTGGGATTCTTGGCAAGACCGAACCAGGGAAATCAAAAAGAAGCAGCTAGGCCTCAAAAAGGGTCGCTGAAAATCTGAAGAAATTGGGATTTCGGTGAAACCCTACTTTTCTTTTTTATTGGCTTCGTTTCGACACGCGATATTCGGTGGAAGGAGAGAGAGAGAGAGAGGGAGAGGGGAAGAGAGAGAGAGAGAGAGAGAGAGAGAGAGGAGAGAGAGAGAGGGCATAGAGCTAGAGAGCGAGAGGGGAGGAAAGAAAGAGCGAGAGCGAGAAGGAAAGAGAGAGAGCGAGAGAGTGCGAGAGAGAGAGAGCGAGAAAGAGAGAGAGGCATAGAGCTAGAGAGCCGAAGGGGAGGAAAGAAAGAGCAAGAGCGAGAGGGAAAGAGAGAGCGAGAGAGTGCGAGAGAGAGATATAGAAAGAGCAGAAAGGGGAGTTAGAGAGCAGAAGAGAGAGAGAAAGAGAGGGAGAGAGAGAGACAGAGAGACAGAGAGACAGAGAGAGAGAGCGAGAGAGAGAGAGAGAGAGAGAGAAAGAGAGGGAGAGAGAGACAGAGAGACGAGAGACAGAGAGAAGAGGAGAGAGGCATAGCTAGTGAGAGAGAGACAGAGAGAGAGAACGACGGTGTCCAAGAGTGCATCAATGATCGGCTTAACGAAACATCGCACTGAATATCTCAGTCTTATCCAAAAGCGGCTGGATTCAACGAGGAAAATCCCATGCAATTTTTTGTAAATTCAGGGCTAAATCCAGTTTTAAAGAAACATTTTAAACCCTTTAAATGGCAATGTATTTCTGCCAATATAAAATAACGTATCCGGAAAGCCCAGGATTATCATCACCATGTTGCCCAGGCATTGTCTGGGAGCCGGGCGGGGAGTGCTAATCCCAAAATTGGTTCCCTTTTTTGGATCGGGGCTTTATTGATATTGGACGAATTGGCCGAGCGCTGAACCCAACCTAAGCCTAAGCCTAAGCGTAAGCCTAAGCCTAGCCCAAGCCTAAGCCTACGCCAAAGACAAACCTAGGCAAAGCCTAAGCCAAGCCTAAGCCAAGCCTAAGTCTAAGCCGAAGCCAAGCCTAAACCCAAGTCTAAGCAAGACCTAAGCCAAGCCTAGGCCAGGCCTAAACCTAAGCCTAGCCAAGCCTAGCCCAAGCCTAAGCCGGATCCTAAGCCTATTCCGGCGCCTAAGCCTAAGCACAAGGAATCTTGCAAAAATTAAAGGGATTCTATTTTGATGCATCTGCAGTTGGGGGGTCGCATAGCTAATGGGTGGAATCTGAGGGGCCCAGGGGCAATCTATGCACATCTCACCTCTCTCTCTCCCTCTCTCACCTTCCAAATCCCCCGTGCAAAAAGAGACCCAATTTCCACTGCGGCACCAAAAAACGAACCGGGTTCTTCGCTTCCCCCACTCCCAGTAGTCATTATGCAGCCCCTCCCCATCATTGGCCGATGAATGGACCGAAAAAGGTGCTGGGCACTTTTGGACCCCCACGGGGATTTGCTAACGGCTTCTCGAATGGGTTTATCGAAATTTGAACGCACGAATTTGCGAAAATTGCGAAAGATGCGACAAAAACAAGGGAAAGGGCATTTCAAATCAAAACACGGCTACCGAGGGAAACGCCAAAACACCGATAGGTCAAAATCCCGACAACCAAAATCCCGACAGCCAGAAACTCCAGGTTTAAAACCCATTTATGGGTAAAACGGCCGGAAATATCACATTTTCGTTGTCGGGATTTTGGATCGATGTCTGGCCTTGGGATTATAGCTGGAATTAGTTTTCCTCGAAATTTTGTTAGAATATCGACCGTTTTCGGCGAAAACTCGACGTTTTTATTTTTTAATGTTTTAGTACATAATGAATAAGCACGCGACGCGCGCCATAGCCCCCCGGGGTGGCAAAGCGGCGTGCGCGTTGCGTGTCGTGGCCGCGGCAGAAGCTATAGGGAATGCTAGCCAAGAAATCCATCGTCATGCCTTGTGAGGTCCTTTAAAGAGAGCCTGCCATCTTTGCCCGGAACTACTTTTTTAAAAATGGGTTTCATGGTAAAAATATGTTTTGCCGAAATCCAGAGATACGAAAGCCGCGATGCTGCTAATCTCGAACAGCAACCGCACCACTAATATTGAAAAATTTACCTTTGCCTTTACAGATGTTAAGGCGAGAGAGAGAGAGAGAGAGAGGGAGAGAGAGGCAGAGAGGCAGAGAGAGGCAGAGAGAAAGGCAGAGAGAGCAAGCAGAGAGAGAGAGAGAGGGGGGAGAGGGAGAGAGGGAGAGGCAGAGAGAGAAGGAGAGAGCGGGAGAGAGAGGGAGAGAGACGGAGATAGGCAGAGAGAGAGAGCGGGGGAGGCGAGAGGGGGGAGAGGAGAGGCAGAGAAGGAGAGAGAGGCAAAGAGAGAGCGAGCGAGAGAGCGTGAGAGCGAGAGGGAGACAGAGCAGCAGAGAGAGAGAGCGAGCAAGAGAAAGAGGGCAAATTCGCAAACCGAGGTGATGATCAGAGTGGTCGATTCCAACAGGGTTTCAGAGTATTTCTGGATTTCGATGAAACATCCAAAATATAAAATCCAAATTTGCTGGAATTATTTTGCGGGACGGCTGCAATTCGAGCCAAACCCGACCCCGATTGAAATCCGAGCCGGGCGCCCGACTTTTCAAATTTCCTACCGGCATGCCTAAATCTGGCAGAATGCCACGATTGCAGGCATTTTAAAAATAAAAAACGATAAATTCAAAATTAAGAAGTAGTTGAAATTAAAATAATTAACAATCATTTCCTAGGGAAAAACAATTTTCAAATAAACAGTCATAGGCGAGATAATTTTTTGGATTTTTACAGATGACATGGGATTGGCCCTTTTGAGAGCATTGTTTAATCAACAAGATGTGAAACACACGTCATTCATTCATTCAAGGTCGTCACATGCGAAAAATCATTTAAAAGACAACGAAAACAAGCGCTGCATATCTCACACTTCTATTTTGAAATTTAATAGTATTTATAATTGCTATAAAAACGATATTAAAGTGGGTTTGAAAGGCAACTAAGATAAGAAACGAATGCTGCCTCCAATTTCAACCCATACCACCCGGGTTAATTTGTTCTTTGCGCGGCAGCACAATCTAATTATTATGCGGAAAGGGAAGGAAACCTTTCAGGATCCACACAAATTAGGGCCTCTAGGTCCATTTCCTCAAACAATCTCTGCTAGCCTGTCCGGCACTAGGGTCCCCCGGGTGCCAAGCCAAGAATTACACGGAAATCAGTCCAGAAGGGCCAAATGCCTGAAAACGCAAAAAAAAGGTTGCTCTTTGGTTTGGGTGGGAAAGGAGATGGCCAGGTTGGGGGCAAAAGTCGAGGCGCTGAATGCCTAATGTTTGGGCTTCAGCTTTTTGGGGGTGAATTACTGGACCGGAAGGGCTGCAATTCGAGGAAAAACCGGGCTAGGAAAATCTAAGCCTCTTAGCGGGTGCCTATCATAAAGAACCATGATTTGCCTACTTTTACAACAAGAAAAATGCAATAAAAGTTTCAGTCCGCGTGAAAAACAGCTTCGCGACGTTTCTTCCATGGTGGCGGCTTCGGCGTTGCGCTTGGCGCGCCCGGCCGCCACACGCAACGTAATCCGGAATCGGGTGGAATCGGGGCGCGTCGCGTGTCTCGGCCTGGCCTGCACGCTGCCCGCCTTCCTCAACGCGTTGCGTGCCGCTCCCTGCGTGTTGCGTGTCTCGGCTGGCGCACTACGCGTCTGCCACAACGCGAGAGTAAAAAATAAATAAGAGAGTAAAAATTTTTTAAACTGAGTTTTTACTTGTGTGCGGGGTCGTTTAAAAAGGGTTTTTCCTCTCGAAAAACCGTTGTTTTGCACCGGTGGGTTCCGGGTTAATCCTGGAGGCCACAAAAAAACCGGACGTTCGGTCAGCTGGAAGAGGGCAATGGAAAAAGACCAGATTAGTTGAGGGACTACGGGGTATTTTTATGGATTGCCTCAAGGAGGGCACAAAAGAGGAAATGGACGGACCCCGAGAGGAGGGCAGGCTAGCAGAGATTGTTTGAGGAAATGGACGGACCCCGAGAGGAGGGCAGGCTAGCAGAGATTGTTTGAGGAAATGGACGGACCCCGAGAGGAGGGCAGGCTAGCAGAGATTGTTTGAGGAAATGGACGGACCCCGAGAGGAGGGCAGGCTAGCAGAGATTGTTTGAGGAAATGGACGGACCCCGAGAGGAGGGCAGGCTAGCAGAGATTGTTTGAGGAAATGGACGGACCCCGAGAGGAGGGCAGGCTAGCAGAGATTGGAGGAGGAAATGGACGGACCCCGAGAGGAGGGCAGGCTAGCAGAGATTGTTTGAGGAAATGGACGGACCCCGAGAGGAGGGCAGGCTAGCAGAGATTGGAGGAGGAAATGGACGGACCCCGAGAGGAGGGCAGGCTAGCAGAGATTGTTTGAGGAAATGGACGGACCCCGAGAGGAGGGCAGGCTAGCAGAGATTGTTTGAGGAAATGGACGGACCCCGAGAGGAGGGCAGGCTAGCAGAGATTGTTTGAGGAAATGGACGGACCCCGAGAGGAGGGCAGGCTAGCAGAGATTGTTTGAGGAAATGGACGGACCCCGAGAGGAGGGCAGGCTAGCAGAGATTGGAGGAGGAAATGGACGGACCCCGAGAGGAGGGCAGGCTAGCAGAGATTGTTTGAGGAAATGGACGGACCCCGAGAGGAGGGCAGGCTAGCAGAGATTGTTTGAGGAAATGGACGGACCCCGAGAGGAGGGCAGGCTAGCAGAGATTGTTTGAGGAAATGGACGGACCCCGAGAGGAGGGCAGGCTAGCAGAGATTGTTTGAGGAAATGGACGGACCCCGAGAGGAGGGCAGGCTAGCAGAGATTGGAGGAGGAAATGGACGGACCCCGAGAGGAGGGCAGGCTAGCAGAGATTGTTTGAGGAAATGGACGGACCCCGAGAGGGAGGGCAGGCTAGCAGAGATTGGAGGAGGAAATGGACGGACCCCGAGAGGAGGGCAGGCTAGCAGAGATTGTTTGAGGAAATGGACGGACCCCGAGAGGAGGGCAGGCTAGCAGAGATTGTTTGAGGAAATGGACGGACCCCGAGAGGAGGGCAGGCTAGCAGAGATTGTTTGAGGAAATGGACGGACCCCGAGAGGAGGGCAGGCTAGCAGAGATTGTTTGAGGAAATGGACGGACCCCGAGAGGAGGGCAGGCTAGCAGAGATTGGAGGAGGAAATGGACGGACCCCGAGAGGAGGGCAGGCTAGCAGAGATTGTTTGAGGAAATGGACGGACCCCGAGAGGAGGGCAGGCTAGCAGAGATTGTTTGAGGAAATGGACGGACCCCAGAGAGGAGGGCAGGCTAGCAGAGATTGTTTGAGGAAATGGACGGACCCTGAGAGGAGGGCAGGCTAGCAGAGATTGTTTGAGGAAATGGACGGACCTCGAGAGGAGGGCAGGCTAGCAGAGATTGTTTGAGGAAATGGACGGACCCCGAGAGGAGGGCAGGCTAGCAGAGATTGTTTGAGGAAATGGACGGACCCCGAGAGGAGGGCAGGCTAGCAGAGATTGGAGGAGGAAATGGACGGACCCCGAGAGGAGGGCAGGCTAGCAGAGATTGGTGGAGGAAATGGACGGACCCCGAGAGGAGGGCAGGCTAGCAGAGATTGGAGGAGGAAATGGACGGACCCCGAGAGGAGGGCAGGCTAGCAGAGATTGTTTGAGGAAATGGACGGACCCCGAGAGGAGGGCAGGCTAGCAGAGATTGTTTGAGGAAATGGACTGGACCCCGAGAGGAGGGCAGGCTAGCAGAGATTGTTTGAGGAAATGGACGGACCCCGAGAGGAGGGCAGGCTAGCAGAGATTGTTTGAGGAAATGGACGGACCCCGAGAGGAGGGCAGGCTAGCAGAGATTGTTTGAGGAAATGGACGGACCCCGAGAGGAGGGCAGGCTAGCAGAGATTGGTGGAGGAAATGGACGGACCCCGAGAGGAGGGCAGGCTAGCAGAGATTGTTTGAGGAAATGGACGGACCCCGAGAGGAGGGCAGGCTAGCAGAGATTGGAGGAGGAAATGGACGGACCCCGTGAGGAGGGCAGGCTAGCAGAGATTCATTAGGAAAAGCGCGAACCTCATAAAAGTGCCATCCGCAAAGCCTAGAAAACTATGTTTCGAAAAAGTGTTAGGGCCAAAGAATTTTGTTGGGCATAGTTAAGTGACAGAATTGATTATTAACGCTACAATTTTCGCGTCTCTCCCTCTCTCTCTCTCCCTCTCGCCTTTCTCTTCCTCTGGCTTGTTGATCTATTATGCTGACACTGCTTGCTTTACTTGCTTCACTGCCTTTGCTTTGATTGGTCATATAGTAGGTTTAGTACATATTTATTCAAATAAAAAATGCGAGGCTTTGGGCGTGGGACGGCAGCGAAGTAGCAGAAGTTCGCAGAAGATCATTGGTGGCCCTTGTAGTGGTCCCTCCGGTGGTCTCTCCTAAAAAAGCGGCAATAACGAATATCGTTGATGCTTACAAATGGCTCCGCCAAGCAGCTTCTTTTTCGGGTAGATGTGGAGGATGGCGGCAATGTGAGCCGGCTGAAAGCAAAAGCGGTTCTTTTTCCCATTATCGGGGGGTAACGAGGTGCAACCAAATTTTTTCTTAGGAGCTAATTTTTGAAATATAAACAGCGGAAGTGCTTCTAAGCGGCTACAAGATATTTTATTAATTTTAATTAATTTCAATATTTATTTTTAATATCCTACCTTATATAATTTTGGGGTGTATCTCTGTGTGTGTGTGTGGATGTCACTTTCGAGGCTCGATTTGAGGGCCTTCCCCTGGATAAAATGCGCTAATTATTTGTCACCCGGGGGAATCGACCCTCCTCTTTCCGATGGCGTTTTCAGAATTTTGATAAAATACAAGTTTACAAAGTTAAAGCCGGTTTTATTCATTTTTGGGGGTAATTTGCATAATACGAAAAAATACAAATTTCCTCATTCTTGCAATCTGCCCGCGCGTGTGCGGTCGATGGGGGAAGGGTTCCGAAGGACCCGAGCTATCGGAAAGTCAAATTTTTCATGCAAGGGCCCAATTCCAGCGCCCAAGGCCCGCGAAGCGGGTTTTGGGCGCTGGTTTTTGTAATAAAAAAGATAAAAATCCCGATTTTTCGGCCAAAAATGGCCAATTTGTGACTTCCTCAAAACTGTATAAAGTTTTGAACTAGTTTTCTGGTTGACGTCCGATTTTTACGATTTAGGTATCTATCGCAAGATCTCGGAAAGGCGAGTCCAGCACATCTCTCGGATTCTCAAATTTTGAAATTTTTCTATCATTTACTAATGTTTTTGCGAAGAGGACGGATTTTCTGATGTCCTTGACCAAGGAGTTTTTTACAAAAATCGCAATTTAAGAATTTTTACGCCTTTCCTGGCAGCTTTTTTGAAAGCCGGTTGCGAAAACACAGCTTGGATGGCGCTTAAACCAGTTAAATTGCGTCTTAGACAAAAAGCGTGTCCTTTTTGCATGAAAAGCGCCGAAAATCGAGCAAAACATTCCGACATTTCGCAAATCGGCGAGTCGTGCTGGACTCGCCTTTCCGAGAGCTTTCGATAGATACCTAAATCGTAAAAATCGGACACGTCTGCGGCCGGCTAGGGGGGTTTAGGACACCCTTTAGAAAAGTGCACTTACCAGCACAAAACCAAAACTGTGTAGGCGTCTGGCCAGACATTCTGTACATCCTCCGAGCAGATCTGGAAATGAAACTGGGAGATTTGCTCCATGCGTAGGTCGTTTTATCTTAGAAGAAGCCCACGGGATGGGGAGGCTTAGGTATGAACGTACCAGCCGATGGATCCGACAGCCTGGCGGAATCCTGGCCCTGGGTGGGACATCGGTTTTTCTCTCCGCTCCATCTCCTTAATGTAGGCTATCACGGAAAATGGTTGGAAGCCAAACTCGATTTTGTCGGCGCAGCGCCGACAGCATCTAAGGATCCCCCTGTTGTGCTTCAGGTCCGGGGAGGAGCAAGCGACGCAGCAACCCCTTGCTATTTTGCGCAGAAGACGGGCGAGGCTGGACGCCGTCTCCGCGGCATTTGGAGGCTGCAAGTAAAACATCAAATTGAGCACGAAAATTGGTAAGAACCTCGTTTTGGCTTTCATAGGACACCAGGTAGGGAAGGGACAAGAAGCCCTCACGATCGTAGTAGGTCTTCACTCCCAAGACCCGATCTCCCGGCTGTAATGTAATCCTTTATCTGCGCAAAGCGGCCCGACTTGGCGTGAAAAAGTTGGGCATCCGCGGCGTCCCAAAAAAAACCCTCCGGTCTCTCCCCCAAATTTGAACGGGAAACACCCCATGTGGATATTCGAAACCGCGTTTAAATATTGTTTTTGCTACAACTATTTTGTATTACATTATTTTGGGCTGTCATCGAAACTTTAAGTACTTTTTTGATGCTCTATCCAATGACATCCAGAAAATGTCGAAAAAGGAGCTAAAATATTGAAAACTAGCTTTTGGCCCCATTTTCGAAGGTTTTTAATGTTTTTGCCATAACTTCTTTATATGACAACCAGCGCCCAAAACCCGCTTTGCGGGCTTTGGGCGCTGGATTGTGGCCTCTGTATGAGAACTTTAACTTTCCGATAGCCGGGCTCCTGCGGACCCCCCCCACCGACCATACTCGCGTGTGCCAAATACAAGAATGAGGAAATTTGTATTTTTTCACATTATGCAGATTGGCCCTCCCGGACCCCCAAAAATCAATAGCACCGCCGTTAACTTTGTAGACTTGTATGTTATCCAAATTCTGAGTACGCCAACGGAAAGAGGAGGGTGGATTCCCCCAATTGACCGAGAATTAGCGCATTTTGGACACGGGTAGGCCCTCAAATCGGGTAATCTCAAATTTAACTTTTTGTTTTGTGGTAATTCAACAACAAAACATATTTCTAGGCTCTCGGTGTGCGAGGTTTAGGACCAGGCCTGGCTCTAGCGCCGGAGGTCAAAGAAAAGGTACTTGGCCCAGGCTCTGGCGCCGCAGGCCAACGATGGTTTCTTGACCCAGGCTCTCGCGCCGCAGGCCAAATCCTGGAGAAAACCCATTAGCTAGCGCCGCAGGCTCAAAGATTCTGGCCCAGCGCTGGCTCTAGCGCCGCAGGCCAAAGAATGGTTCCTTGAACCAGGCTTCGATAAAAGGAAAGGGAATTCATGATTCCTAGACGTGGGTCCAGTGGAAAAGGGCCGCGAAGCGGTCTTTTTCCACTGGTTATATATATGACAATATTTTGGACTGCCATTAAAACCCTATCCATATTTTTTTATCCTCTATCGGAAGGCATTAAGTGAACCCCAAAAGTTAGCAAAAATATCCAAATTTTGGGAACCTCGGTCTGGGGGGAGGTGTAAAGTAACCGGTCGCCAATTTTTCGATGAAAGATCGAGACAGCAGACTGATACAAAATCAATCGTTACCTTGAGGGCGTTCCCAAAATAACCATGTGCGCTGATCCGAACCCGCCCGTCTTTTTCATCCACGAAAACAGTATTGGCTTCCCAGAGTAGCGTCTCGTGCCCTGTAAAACGGTTCTCTGCGTGATTAAGACAATGAGAAAGCTATTTGACCGACCATCATCAATGGGGAAAATTCTAATTTACGGTATGTTCCCAAAAATTTCATTTTTCAGCTGGAAACGATAAAGCTCGGTGAGGTAAAACCTTTTTGAGTTGGAATAACAATTGGGGAAAATCATAAAAAAACAAAAGACATTACGTTTTCAAGATATTTTTGCTAAGGAGCCTAGGCTACGCAACACTCCTATCTCGATTTCGAAACCATGTACGAGCTTGGTGTCTTGGTTTTTGCGAGAGAGTGAGAGAGAGAGAGAGAGAGAGAGAGAGAGAGAAAGAGTTGGACCCACTCCTGTAGCCGGGCGGGCCAGCGGCCACCTAAAAGACACAGGTCAAAACAATAACTTGATATTGCGTTACCGCATCTGCTCCAGCGCTTTCGCGGGGACCGTAGGACTTCTCGTAGGACACCAGTTCGACAGTTTGGCTGAAATTTGCAGATTTGAGAGAGCCGGCAAGGCTTCTTTTCGTTCCGCATAAAGGTTTAAAAAATTTAAATGCATTTAATTGACGTTCCGCATCCTTTCAGATGGCAGCACTGGGCAACACCGACCTCTTGGGGGCGCATGATGCACGCAGGAAGAGCAGCGCGAGCAATATCAGCAACTGAGTGATGACGAACCCGAAGCCAGCGATGATGTAGACTAGGCCATCTGTAACGAGCGCAAACGATTAAGAACACTATTAAATCCTGACTATTACGTTACTAGGCGTTTCTGAACTTATAAGAGAACTGCGGCTTCCACGCTATTGCGAAAGCACGGGCATTAGTGTTCGACACGTTCACCAGCTCTCATCGTGAAACAACTGTAATTCCTACCCTCAATTGTCGGGCTTGTGACACGAATTTGTTCTTTATGCTTGAAGCCCAGGCGGAGATGTTGGCCTGAAAGCGGGAAGTGAAGGCATGTGCATCAAAAACAATATTTTTTACGAACTAAATCCTTATCCTAATCAATCACAACTATAATAATTTTCTTGACGCGTCCGTCCGTCCGTCTGAAGCCGAATTCAACTCGAAGGGGAAAGGGGCTAGAGCTTAGGTCTCTTCGGATTCGGATAGAGGCGTGCTCAGAAACCCCAAACTGATCAAAAAAATATGAAAAAGTTTTCGTTTAAATTGTTAAATTTAACTTTGAAAGTTTTTTCCTTAGTAAAAGGGGTGGGTGCGGAGGTTGGGGATTTGGGACCTAGTGAGCCAGGTCGGACGCGTTTTGGCGAAGGGGAGGAGGCAGCCGAAGTCCAGCCGTGGAAGCGGCTGGTAACAACTAAAACAATGGTACCGGTATTGTTCTAATTTGCGGGGGACAGGGAAAAATATAAAAATTCCGCTGACAACCATACAGGGTGTCCCAAAAAAACGACCCCTCTGGCATTTCGCCGTGTTACATCCAGGCCCGAAGCGGAACCGAAATTTCGGGGGGCAAAATTTTGGCGACCTCCCCCTCCCCCCGGTCGTCACTTTTAAAACATCCGAAAATCGCGTCAATAATAGCGCCGCAGGAAAAAAAAGCGTTCGCCTACACTCCAATTCATGTGAAAACACGGCAGAAAACGCGCCGCAGGCGGAAATTTTTATGAACAATAGATTCTCCACCGAAAAACCAGCGCCGCAGGCAAAAAATTTGGAAAAAATAGGCTTCATATAAGTAAAAACTGTTTGAAAAACATAATAAACATAAGGGTCCGCCCTTATGAATTTTTCGAACCTCGACCGATTTCGGGAGGGGGGCCAGGGCCTTGAGCCCCCCCTCCTACGGGCCTGGTTACATGCAATCGGTCCCAATTTTTTTTTTGACCAGGGGTGTATCGAGCCCTAAATAACAACAATCCTAACTTACAGCGCTTTTGCTATAGTAGTCTCCAAACAGGAAACTTGACGTCAACAAGTAGTCTGGTGTGTATTAGCTGGGGAAAGGTACCTTTTTGGTTAGAGTCTAGGAAATCTTCTTTGCGCCCAACTTTTGTATCGCGGAGGGAGAGATTCCCGGGGATTAAAAGCCACTTTTTACGTCGCCATGTTGAATTTTGGCTAAAGTCTAGTTCACCCCCCCAGCCGTAACTTTTCAGCCATGCGCCCTATTAATGCGCCGAGTATCTCAAAGTGTTCGCCGTCGTCGAGTTACTATAGCCAGGTCGTTTTCTTATATAAAAAATTGTTAATATCAATGTTAAGCAATTTTAGATGAAGTCTCAATTTTAATAAAGATTCGAATACCGACCTTGCGCTGTCCTTGAGATCGTGACCTTGTTTCGAGAGCTGCGCGCGTAGCAGCTTGTCCCTGGTGAACGCTTTCACATTTCTCCCAATTCGAATGTCGGCCAAAGCCACGCTATAAAATGCCAGTATAAAAAATATATTGAGATGAATAATAGAGACCAGCGTTGAAAAGGAAAAATGATACCCAGCTGGGCGAATGGCACCGAGCAGCAGTTTCAGGCCCATCGGAGGATCGAGACGGGTCCAAAACGAATGATATTTTTCGCTACGCTTTTCGTTGGTTTTATACCAAATCACATCACATCCCATTCAAATCACGGCAGAAAGCGGAAATTGAAATTTCACACGCAAATTAGGGCTACGGTTTACTTTACCCCCCCCCAGCCGGAAGTTTTTGGCTATAACTTTTTTTATTTTACATTATTGTAGGCTCTAATTAAAAATTATAGTATATTTTTCGACGCTCTATACATGGAAAGTGTTTTTGCAAAATTTTTTGTCATTTCCGCCGCGAAGCGGTTTTTCAACCCTGGTAAGGTAGAAATGCCGTTTCGGCGCAAATTTTCTGTGTTTAAGGCTGTAATTCGATGCATATTTTTGGCGTTTCCGCGTATTGAAAATCATGCCTATTTATATTTTTAGTATATTGGTTTATTCAAATTTTATGGCAATCA